GTTCTAGAAAAATAGATGGTTGTGAAATGCCACCCCTGCTCCCCATTTGTGTGGTTTTTTTGCAAAATACCTAATTCTGATTTGGTTACAAAATTTAGGGTGTTCGTGATTTCCTGACGCATATCACTACAGGTGGAGGAACTTCTGAGAGAGTGGGATGCCAGCATCAATTTGAAGCTGGTTCCTTCCACACTCATCGGGTTGATGCTCAGCATTCACAGAAAGCTGGGTGCCATGGTATTCATGAAGCATCCAGTTCCTATGTCTATGCCTGTCACCATCACTAATAAGGCAAGCAAACTGTTAATATTAAGAACCAGAGCTAGGCAAACAAACTACTATTGGCATAAGGGTATTGGACATCTGTAGGAGCTGAGGCTTTATGACATCACCTGCCTCCCACATGGACAAGAAGGGTGACACCACAGGAAATCAAACTCTGTACCTCTGGACACTGTGCACCTGGCACCCTTACAAACAAATCATGAACAGTATGGAAATAAAAGGGATAAAAATGAGTGTTAGAAATAATTATAACTACCCATAACATAGCTTTTTCATTAGGTGAAAGTGGCTTGGTCCTTACTAAAAAGATTTTATGTTATGAAATTGTTTGCCCTCTGCAAGAAATGAAAGATGAATGACCTCATAACCTTCAAGTAAATACAAACAGTAGAAACCTAGCTTCCTGTGTGTGTTTTGCTTTTGAGCTCTGATCCATGTTGGAAGCTAAATTCATAGGACACCAGCCATGTTGTATGTGATATGAAGAACTAATGGAGCTAACCTGGGAGCTAATTTTGGATGACAGGAAAATAGTGATATCTGAGATGTTGGTGGCAACCAGCTCTCCACTTCAGCTCAAGGGGAAATTTATGGTAAATGTAAATATATTGAAAGTGGAATTTTGCCTGATGCCATGTATTTTGAACCAAATGACAGACAAGTCATTTGTGTGCCAAGGAAATTTACAAATGGGGGTGAAAGTTCTGATGCAATAACAGCCAAACCTTTCATATGCAACCACCCAGATACTATACAGCGCACTTACAGCTCCACAAGATTTGTAGCTATCAAAGTTATGGCATACCAGCCATGTCTGTCAGTGGTTTTCAGATGTTTATGAATCTTCCCATTGGCTGTGCCAAACCGGGGTTGAACACTGGAAATTATCATGGCTAGAGCTGCTGATCATGTCTAAACTCTCCCTGTCTTCCAGAACCAAGCATAACGGTGTGCTCACCTGCACATACACACCATCCACCGAGGGTCTCTCCGACACCAGCCTCACCAGGGACCAGGCTGGATGAGTCGGCTCCGTGACCGCTGGTCACCCACCCACTAGGCGCGTCCCCAAGCGACTGCTATGGCCAACACGGGCCGCGGCGGCCTCAGCAACGGCGCCACGCGCGCGCCGGACGAGACCAAGGTGCTGCCGACGCGCGTGGTGACGGCTGATGGCGGCCGCAGCGCGGCCACGCAGCTGGTGCTGGCGCCCGACGAGGTGGACGCGCTGCCGCAGCGCATGCAAGTACACCTACAAGGACTTCTTGGTGATGTTGCTGTCGATCGGCAGTTTTCCTGGTAGACACGGGCACGGACATCTGGCTGGCCGTGCACTTCTACCGGAATGAGCGGCTCTACGAGTTCGTGCTGACGCTGGGTCTTCATTCTGGCGCCAGCATTCACCATGACGGGCTTCAGCCTCCGGTGGTAAGCGGGTTATCTCAGCTGTCGCTGGTGTTTATTCTGGCGCCGGCGCTCACCATGACGGGCTTCATCCTCCGGTGGTGATCAGGTTATCTCAGCTGACGCTGGTGTTCGTTCTGGCGCCGGCGCTCACCATGACGGGCTTCGTCCTCCGTTGGTAAGCGGGTTATCTCAGCTGTCGCTGGTGTTCGTTCTGGCGCCGGCGCTCACCATGCCAGGCCTCAGCCTCCGGTGGTAAGCGGGTTATCTCATCTGACGCTGGTGTTTATTCTGGCGCCGGCGCTCACCATGACAGGCCTCAGCCTCCGGTGGTAAGCGGGTTATCTCAGCTGACGGCTGTGATCGATTCTTTCGGACGACTAGCGGAGCAGGGAGATGCCACTTTACTTGGGGGAATAGGAGAGTTGCGCAGCCTCTGTACGGACTGAGAGGTTTGGGTACTAAGGGATGAATCGATCGGTGCATTGCTTCTGATGGTAATAGCTGATGAATTTGTCGTGTAGCATACGTTAATCCGTCTTGAACATTAAAGTATTGATGTTTTTTTTCTGCTGCATCTTTCCTGCAGTGTGGCCCGTGGCAGGAGCAGTAAACAATACCAGCTCCATCTAACAGCTGGGCTGCTGCTGGCTTGCCTGATGTCTGGCAGCTGGGCTCTATCACTGTGCGCACCTAGACGTTGTTTTCTATCGTTACCATACCCATGAAAAAGTATATGTAGACCACGCATGTCCATGCACTGGCGTTGCTGTCACTCAACATCCGCACGCGGTGGCGAGCGGCTCTGACTTCGGTGGTGACGTCACACCGCGCGGCTCAGGTACCTGAACGACGCGGACCAGGGCCCGGACGAGGCGGACGCCGAGACGCGCCCCTGCCGCCCCACCGTGCCCATGTGGAAGTGGGTCCTGCGCATCGTCTGCCTCACCCTGCAGTTGGGGCCGCTGCTCAGGTGCGTTGCGAGCGTCCGCGGGTGCTTCGTGTGTCGCGGGGGCCCGTGTGGTAGGTGGACATCATGTATCCAACACGCGGGCGGACATGGCTGTCGTGATTGGTCGCTGCGGGGCTGCTCCATCTAATGGTTCATGTGTGATACTGCATTGACGTCTGTCTGTCGGTTGCGTACCCATAGCGTGGGTGCAGATAGTGTAGTGACGGACGCGTCTGCGTTAACCACTGCGCGTCTTGGAAACTGGAGTTACGGGGTTCGATTCCCTGCGGTGCCCGTCCTTCCAGCCAGGTTGACGGGCAGGCGACGCCATACAGCCCCTGCAGCCGAGTGCATCGTAAAGCCCTAATGACACACACCTGATGCCGCGTGCCCTTAGCATTGACTCTGTGTGAGATGACGCATGGATGACCATCTCTCTCGACGCTACACCAGTGTGGCGCCGCAATGGTGCACGCCTCCTGACTGGATGCTGCTGACATCCGGTAGCTGGCCAGTGCACACTCGGATCCCAGCACGTGACTCCCACCCCGCCTGGGCAAACCTTGCTCCCTTCCCCAGATACGTGGAGGCCATGGTGTACGGCCTCCGCAGCCGGCGCGCGCAGAAGAACGGCGACCAGCAGGCGCACATCAAGAACTATATCTACATGATCTACAAGGACGCCGACGCCACACTGCTGCGGCTGTTCGAGTCGTTCATGGAGTCGGCGCCACAGCTGGTGCTGCAGCTGTATATCCTGGCCAGCGAGCATAACCGTTTCGAGCCCACCGAGCCCATCTCCAGTACGTGGCGGCGCAACGGCTCCGACGACCTGGCCAGTCTCCGGATTCTGCCACATTCATACGCAAACATGGACACGCTTATATATATATATATATATATATATATATATATTTTGTGTGTGTGTGTGTGTGCGTGCGTGCGTGCGTGCGTGCGTGTGCGTGCGTGCGTGCGTGCGTGCGTGCGTGCGCGCGCGCGTGCGTGCGTGTGTGTGATATAGATCCTGGTGGGATCATCTCTGCTCATTAATTATCATGTGTGAAGTGTGCTGGTGATGTTGTCATCCCTCTCTGCAGATATGTCGTGAGGTGGCTCACATTTGGTTAATACTGCGCCTGTCCTCCAGCCGGCCTTTACGAATGGAAGTGTGTGTGTTTGGTTGCAGCGACTCTGCAGGTGGTGGCCGTGGGCACCAGCCTGTTCTCGCTGGCCTGGTCGCTGTGCAGCTACCAGCGCTCTCTGCGCTACAGCCTGCCGGCCAAGAACAACCTGTCCACGCCCGCCACGGTCGTGCTCTTCTTCTGGCACCTGTGCAGCGTCGGTGAGATGGCACGCGGCTGGCACCGGCGCGGTGCGGCGCTCGGCCGCCACGGGTCGCCTGTGGCGCGGATGCGTCCGTTGACTTGTCGCACTCTGCGGGCCGCGGGTCTGCCTAATCACAGCGCTCGTGAAGCTGTGTGGGTTGGGCGTTTCGGCATGCTGGTTCCTTCGAGCGCGCGGCCGAAGTTAAGGCATTGTAGCGTTGTAGCGCGGGGCCGATCCCGCGTTAGCCCCATTTTGCAGTCAACCCGTCGCGAACCGATAAGCAGATCGTCGCGTCAATGCCCAGATCTTGTTTGGCAAAGCTCTTACCTGTGGCTGTAGTCTGACGTCACCCGAGGCCGCTCACCACGAGGGAGATCGGGCTCCGAAGCGCGGGGCGTGTCGTGGTGCTCTGATCTATGGTGGCACAGGTTGCCACTTGGGGACGGCGTTGGAAAATCAGAAACGGGACAAGATTGCCTGAGGGGCAGGTTCCTTATGCAGATGGGACCCCACGGATGGTCGAATTCTCAATGCAGTTCTGACTGAACCTTCTGAAATGGATTCTGAATCTCCTGGAGCATTGTTGTGTTGACATGCCGGGACGTGAACCGATCTGAACGCCTCTCGCGTCGCAGCAACGCGCCTAACCTCGCTCTTCCGTCGCTGTTGCAGGCTCTCGCGTGCTGGCCATCAGTCTGTGCGCCTCCCTCTTCCCTGTGTACGTGGCCATCGGCTTGCTGGTGCACTGGGTGCTCATGACGTGCTGGCTGATCTACCAGAAGACCGAGGCCTGCTACACGCGCTGTGAGGAGCTCCTCTTCGTCATTGTGCTCGGCGCCGTCTACATCTTCACCTTCTTCAACGTCAAGGACCAGACGACGCGGCTCAAGTACACGATGTACTACGTGCTGTGCTTCGCCGAGAACACCGCCATGATCGTGCTGTGGTACCTGCACGCCGACCGGACGCTCTGGTGGTACCACCCGGGCCTGGCGGCGCAGGTGAGCCTGTTCTCGCTCGCCGTGCTGTTCATGGTGATGTACTACTGGCGGCTGCACCCGAGCCACGGGCCCGAGCCGTCCGGCATCTGCGTGACGGGCCAGGTGTGCCGCGATGCCACGCTGGCGGACCGCTTCGGTGTGCACCTGGAGGAGTGGGCGGGCAACCGCAGCCGCGACGCCACGCCCCCCGTCGAGCGGAAGGCCGGTGACCGGCCGGACGGCGAGGGGCTGCCGACGTGACGCGTGACGCGCGCCCGCGCGGGGCCGCGAGGACGCCGAGGGGCTGCTGGCGTGACGCGCGACGCGCGCCCGCCCGGGGCCGCGAGGACGCCGAGGGGCTGCCGGCGTGACGCGTGACGCGAGCCCGCGCGGGCGGAGGCGAGACACGGCCGCCTGCCGGGCGGGCGGCAGGTACACGTGACGGCCGGGTCGAGTACGAGGAACGTCACGTGAGCGGTGCGTGACGCGGCGGCATGATCCGTCGCGTCTCGTCTCCGGCGTGACGGCGTGGCCTAGCGCCTTGCGCGCGCGCGCCTGCCACGCCTGAAGCATGTACCAAAGGAACGCGCCGCGGCCGTCGACGGACGAGCCGGGAGCATTCGAACGAACGAACAGATAAGAACGAACGAACAGAACAGAGCGAACCTACGCTGTGGGGCTCCGACCGTTCCCACCGTCGGCCGGTGCCTGCTTGGCTGTCGGCGTGTCTGCCGACTGTCCGGCGAGAGGTGAGCGACACAGGGAGGTGGCGCGGGCTGTTACGTTATCGGTTGCCTTCACGCAGTGCTGTGCAGCCGCGGGTGGTGTCCGGTATTCTGGGACCGGTGGCTTTAACGCCCCGTGCGCCGGCGCACTGGGCCGGCGGTCCTCGATTTCCTCCGGTGTGGGATGCCTGGGGGAGGGAGAGGGGCAGCCGTGCGCGCAGATTAGATGTCAAAACCGCGAGATGGCCTTCGTAGAGGGCCAATCTCGTCGGAATACGTAGCCAGGGTCGTTGCGGGCTTCCTTAGTACAAGGTAGTGCTGTCGTCTCTCCCATGTCACGAGCAATACTGTTGTCACAAGAATTGCTTCCCTCGATTGAATGCACCCCATAGAAATGATGTCCCTGCTGTGCACGCCTCGCGCTTTGCAGTCGCCTGCGGCGAAAATCGTCGCTCAAGCACCTTTTATTCAGTCCATCGCCGCACACGAAGTGTGTTCTATGTTTTATATGCGTGATAATAATATCACGGCAGGGAGTACTGGCGTGGGAGAGGAGTCGCGGCCAGCCGGCGCCCTCTAATCAGACGCACGTGTGCTGGTGACCTCGTGCGCGGTCCGTGCCTATTCTGTTGCCGAGCGTGCTGACCTTCAGCTGCGCGTGTGGACGGTAGTTAGTATGTGGCGCGGGGATATTAGTGGTAGCGTCGGTGGTTCGCGGTGGCGTGTTGTCGTGGGATGTGATTAAAAACCGACCTTTAAAACGAGCGCCTGTTGCACGAGAACGTCCTGCGGTGCATGTGAGGAACACTCGTTTAATTACCGCGTGCATTTGAGGCCCCGCGAAATCTCTGCGCACGCAGTGAATGACGTCAGCGATAATTTACAGGCTGAACGTCGCTTGTACGCATAGCGTGGTCGTCCTTATCAGCGCGTGCTCACGCGTTCGCACGTAGACAAGGGACCTCGTCTTACCTGATATGCGAAGATGCACGTGATACATGTTAAAATTAGTCGATTTGGTGACGGTGGACAATATCACTATCAAGCTCCGCTTGGTCATGCAAGTGTCGACGATAAAATGCTGTCAACGAAGTGGCTATTTGAGTAAAAATATGTGAAGACGACGTACTGTTTCGCTTCGACGTGTTCAGCCCGTTGACGGCGTGCTCGACTGCAAGTGTCCGTTTCGTCAGACCTCGCATCGGACTGTGGCAGCCGTCTTTCCATAAAGAAAGAAGAGGTGAAGTTGCTCTCTGCCGTCTACGCATGGGACACGTTTAGGCCACCCACCGTCTGCCGCTGCTTGCTGATGATAACCCACGCTACCCTCGATGTGGCGGCCCGCTAACTGCATCGCACGTTGGTCGCCTGTCCTGGCCTAGTTGAAACATGGGCGTGGTTTTTGGGCGGAACGCCCCGAATCTTACACTGGCCGACAGCTTAAGTGATGAATTTGACGCTCTCGGAACTCGAAAGCCTTTTTCAGATTTTCTCTACTCTAGGTTTTGCCGTGCTATTTTGCACCATTACACCACGCTTGACTACTCCTTTAGGTTGCCTCTTTTTAAGACATCAACAACCCGTTTGAATCACGATTTGGCTGCATAATACGGCTATGAGTGCTGCATAACCACATGCGGCCGACGCCCCCCTAAACACCAAACCACACTACCACTTCACCTCGCGGCGCCCGGCCGCCAGGACTTCATCTAACGGCGCATCGGAGGCAGGTGGCGCGCTGCTGGCTCTGCTCAGGACTTCCTCAGTTCCTCGTCTGGGATGCTACCAGCACGCGCCAGTAGGTGCCGGCCTACGTCATTTCCCATCAAGTTAACTCAGATCCAGGATTTTTCGTCTTGGGTTATGATGTGAACCAAACCGAATTGCATGCCGTCAAACGAAATCGCCAATATTTTCACCCACTTCTTAAAGCGCCTCCTTTTCGCCACGGTTTACTCCCCGCTCCCGCCTCCGCGTACTCTAACTCACAGGCACAGCTGGATGCTAGCGCACGAGTCACGGACATGTGACAGGTACGCTCTGACGAACATCACACATGCACTTCCTTAGCAGTCACGTTATTCTTTTTCGGCGCCTTGCCGCGCTCAGTGGCGGATCCAGGAGACAACATTGGAAGGGGCCAACGCCATCTGGGACCACGAGAGCGAAATTCACACCCTCAAAAAATCCGATTTTCAGAAACCTACCGGAACTAGTCTCCTTTACCGCCGGGAGTATTCTAGGCAGCAATGTTCCTTGAGTCCCTCCCCCCCCCCCCCAAAGAATCCCAGGATCATATTAACAAAACCTATGGGATCCTGGATCCAGTCTTGGGATCCATAGACATGTCTTTTTAAGGCAAACTTCCCGCAGTAAAGACTGCCAGTCTGTCTTCAAAGTCAAGGAGCGCAAGTTTTTGTTCAACTGGGCACCATGACCCGGTGGACTCTTGGGTTTGCTTTTGCCGCCCCTATATACGCATGAAACAGCTTGTTTTCCTGGCTGATAGGTTGATTGGTGAGCCCGCCCGATGCGTCCACTCTGCGTGTCCTCCTCACCACCTCTCCCGTGCTATCGGTGGGCGCAGCCGGCCCGGCGGTTGCCGTGGGCGGTCCTCGGGTCACAGAGGCGCACTCAGGTGCCAGGTTATCACACCTTCTCCAAAATCGTTGCGACGCCGACATGAAGTTACAACATTTTCTTTACGGACAAGTCACGCACGCCATATAAATGTTACAGCGAACTGTTAAGCATGTAGAAATGCGCACCAGTTAACATACATACTTAGAGAGCGGTTAACAAACAAGAAATAAATGCAAACTGAATACTACCTGCGGTCGATCTCAACAGAGTAACAAAAGTGTTCGGCAGGTATGGAAACAACACACCAATCGTGGCCGTCAAACCAATTATACGACTGCAGCCGGGGATCCACGAGACCGGAGCGCGGCACACTTTCTCACTGCGGCGTAAACGCGCCGGCTCACATGTTTTGTTGGGATCTGTGGCAGGGGAAGCCACTGGACCGTCGAGATTGAACATCACATGCTTTGGAACTTGACCGTCACGGCCGCGGCGCGGACTTCCGCCTTGTAGACGGGCTCGCACTAGGGGTTCTCCCGTCGTGCGGGACACACGAACTCGGCAGCAATGGGCGATAAACACGCAGAAATCGTCCGTTACGTCAGATGATGCGCCCAGTAGGTAATTTTCACGAGACAGTGACGGTGATCTTCGACCCCGGTGACCACACCACTCCGGTCCCACCGGCTCGTGCATGGATTCTGCGCGTCAATGGTCGCTCCGACCCGAATGCTGTACATGGGTTTTGCGGTGCCGCCGTGCCGCTCCACGAGCTTGTCTGGCTGCTTGAGCACGAGTCTGCTCGCGCTATTCAGCGGCTCCCTGCCGCTCTGCGGCTAAGGCTCGGCAGTGAGCCGGAACTGACGGCTGCAGACGATTTACCTGCCAGAAGTTCCTCCCGCACACGGGTGTCTCGTATGACAGTGACTATTTTGTCGCGGAGCTGGTTGTCTTAGCCACAGTCACAGAAATTACCAAATTCGTGCATCTCTTTGACTGCGGCCAGGAAATCAATGAACGATTTCCCCGGCGCTTGGGACCGCAAAAAATAATTTGCGACGATCCAGGATCACGTTTGCATGTTTACGTAAATGCTCACCGATATGCCCAGAATGTGGTGACGACTGCAATGGTGACGACTGCAGCGGCCAGGTGCATCAGTGGTGACGACTGCAGCGGTCAGGTCAACATCCAGTGAATATTTCACCAGCCTTACGAAGTCGCCATCGAGAAATGCGATCAGTGCCGTCTTTTGTTTCTCCAGAGGTAAGCTAGCCATTCGTCCCAGTTTACAGAGACCACTGAATTTTTCCGTCCGCACGGAGAATTCTCGCAGAGATGCGCCCGATACTAGGTGTGGAGCGGATGCCAGAGCCGCTGATGGCAAATCGCCTTCAGTGCGTGTTGGCGGCTCTCCCTCGCCTTGTGCAACGGTGCGTACCCGGTAATCTTACAATGCAGGTGTGCACAACATTGGAAGGCGTTCCGTCAATCGCGCATCTCTCCCGCGCTTGCTGCCGGTCCTGGGCTGCTGCCTCCACGTGCTGTCTCTCGGCAGGACAGCCAGATGCTCCGCCGCCGCCTCCGCTCCACTGACTGACGTGGTGATGCCTCGCGTAAGCTCACAGCAACACACGGGTGGCCCGGAATAGGCTCCGGCCTGGTCCCGCCGACCGCGCTGCTGGTGTTTATTGGCGGGCCCGCCCGATGCGTCCGCTCTGCATGTTCTCACCACATCGGCCGTGCCGCCGGTTGACCCGGCCGGTCCAGCCGATCGCCGCAGGCAGTCCTCGGGTCACAGAGGCGGACTCAGGTTCCAGCTTACCACACAGGTTCGCCCGCGTGGCCGACTGAGAGACGATTCCAGCCAGGTTGGGAGCAACGGCGTAGCAGTCGCTGCAATGAACCCCTCAATGCAGCAGGGAAACTCCAGGCTCGAGGCCTCGGCGGCCGCAAGCAGGTACGATCATGACCGGTGAAGTGTAAACGCAGCATTTGCCTCGTATCAGTCCTCGAGGCTCGAGGCCTCGGCGGCTGCAAGCAGGTACGATCATGACCGGTGATGCGTAAACGCAGCATTTGCCTCGTATCAGTCCTCGAGGCTCGAGGCCTCGGAGGCCGCAAGCAGGTACGATCATGACCGGTGATGCGTAAACGCAGCATTTGCCTCGTATCAGTCCTCGAGGCTCGAGGCCTCGGAGGCCGCAAGCAGGTACGATCATGACCGGTGAAATGTAAACGCAGCATTCGTCTCGCATCAGTCCTCCGACCCCGAAACTCGAGAACCGCGTGCCAAAAGACCAGCATGAATCAACGATGTATTATTGTAATATTAGCCCATCATTTATATAGATACAACACATCCATATCACTTCACAATACGTAAAGATGCAAAAAATGTTCCAATTAACCGTTAACCTATGTTTGTCAACGACCTGGGGGGCGCAATACGGTATCACTTTTGAGTCCGATCTGGCGTGCCGAGCCTGTGCCTGCGGCCGGGGCGGCCGCCAGCGGACGGGCCCGTAACGGAAATCTGTGGCCGGCCCGGCGCCCGCGGCGCGCCACCGAGCCGCGGCCGAGCGCGCGCGGCGCCCGGGACGCGGACGACTGGCGGCGCGAGAGAGAAAGCCGCTTTCGGAGGAGATTCCGAGGGGAGAACGGGTCAGGAGACGCGGAGAGGATCTGATGGCATGAAACGGAAGAACGGGCCAGACGGAGGGGAGTAGGGTCTCATGACGCCGACAGGCGAAGGGGACAAGACAGCACCTGGCGCTGTCTCATGGCACGGCACGCGGCGGAAACGGGCCGGTCAGTGAGGAGCATGGTCTGACGGCATGGGAGACGAAGGAAAACAGCCGAACGGCGGGGAAGTGATCCCTCAGGCCACGGGCCGGCACAGGAACAACCCACAAGGCGAAAAGGGTAACCTCTAGGCAGAAACGCAAGGGAAACTGACCAGATCAAAGAAGTTGGGCTTCATGGCACGTAGTATGAGATCATCAAGCGTACGAGACGAGGCAAGGGCTGAGAAGATGAAATTTGAGACGATGACCGCGATCCAACGCACCGTGGGACAGCGCTGAACCCGGCTATGAAACGCGAACAGCAGCCGGCGCGCCCAGAACGAGCGGAGCCGGGCTCACGCACCGGGGCTCCGCACTAAATCCGGGCGAATTTCCACCCCCGGAGAGGAGGCGGGGAAGGGAGGCGGGGGTCACAACCCGGCGACGGGTGCAGGCGCAGGGGCGTGAATACAGGCGGGAAGACTACCGTTTCTAGAGAAGACAAGATACCGTAGCCCTGTCGGCGGTCGCGCACCCACACCGCCTCGAACCTCAAGCGGGCGGACCCGCCGCGGCGGGCCACCGGGTTCCTCACGCTCGTGAGCCTTTACCACGAACCGTGGCGGATGGCCGACGCGTAGCTGCCGACTATAAATGTGCATCTCGGCAACGATGAGTGGCGGCGAACGGCAGAGTGCGGTGAAGTGGTGAGGGCAGACGGGAGCGGGGCGACAGTGACTACACCCACCCGTACTGGCGCAGGTCACAGCGGCGCAAACACCTCCCGTGCGCTAAAAGCTGCCGCACGAACGCAGCGCAGGCCGCGCGCAATCGCAACGCTACCCGCCTCCCCCATCCCCTCTTCAGCTGCACGGGGCATCCTCCCTTTGAAGACACCCAATGCATGACCAAGCGTGCTTCAACTCTCCTGCCGTGTGTTAACATATGTAACAATTTCATAACGTCTGAACGAGCAAACTTTTCACGCAGCGCGGAACACAACACAAACGCATGACTTTTCAGAAGTGATCACGTTGCGGTGCTCTAGCCCCACTGGAGCCTCACCGACCAATTCGTATGCTTCGTACTGAAGTCGAATCCAGGACGGATGTCTGAAAACGCACGCAACTCTAGAGCCGATTTCCCTGAAGCGCAGCGCCGGCGAGTCATCAGCCCCAATGGACAGCGGGAGGGCGGCAGCGACGCCGCCGCAGACGGACTGGGCCCGCGGCCCGCGCGAGCGGCACGTCCTAGCGACGCGCACCAACCCGACGCACAACGGCAGCCCTCCCACGCCCTGGAAGACACCGACGGAGAGCTGCGGCTTCGACTGAGACCGGCGGGCGGCGGCGAGCCCTGCCATCTGGCGGGCCGATCGACACACAGAGCTACCGGGACCGGCCGCCGCGGGCAGCGTCGTGCCCGCCGGGCGTCTACACATCCTGGCTCCTACTTATAAACTTTAAATACGAGCAAAACAACTATTGTAACAGGTACAAATATAAAATAGTTAATTATCTATGCCTGGCCGTGCGCTTCTACCCGCGAGAGCCGCTCACGTCGGCGCCGCCCCGAGTAGTGCTGTGGCGCTAGCCCGCGCGCCCTATGTACAATGTTTGAGCAACCAAAGCGACCAGCCGTCCACCCACCCACATCTGAGTGAACGTAGCACCGAATAGCGACGCCAGCGACCGGCGCGCGTCGCTCGGCGGTGGCCGGCGCGCGCCCAGACCGCGGCGCGTCGAAGCTCTGATATGCACCTATCGTCGTGAAACGCTACGGGGCCGAGCGGCGCGGCGCGGCGCGGCGCGGCCGCCGGCAGCTCCGCGCCCGGGCGGCGCCTCCGGCGCTTGTGCGTGTGTCGGCGGTGCGGCATCGGGCCGTGGCGCGAGCGCGTCGCCGGCGGCGTGCTTATTGCATGAGGCGCGCGCGCGCGCCGGCGGCGGTGTCGCGCGCGCCGCCCGGCGGGCCGGTCGCCTGGCAGTGATCGACGCCCGGTGCCGGCGCGGACGGACGCTTGGGCAGGCGGCGCCGCGGCGTTATGGAATATCCACTACTGGTGCGGGCGGCGCGGCGCGGCGCGGCCGCCTAGCTGCTGCTGGTGGAGGCGAGCGGCGAGAGCGGCGAGCTAGGCGTCCGAGCGTCGGCGTCGCGCAGGCAGCCGTTCACCGTCACCACCAGCTTGCGCGAGCCGGCCTCGTTGCGGTGCTCGCACAGCCAGATGCCCTGCACAGGGGCGGGCGGTGGGGAGGGATGCTCAGTTGGGCTCAGGGGTCAGCGTGGGCGCACACACCACGTCACCGAGGATGCGGCTGAGCGGCGCCAAACGGACACCAATCCCTGTTTAGTCTCCGTTGTCGGCATTAACAGGATTCAGGCCTGGCCCAATAATCTCTGGTATGACGCTGCCAACCTTGAATGCTCCTCAATATTATGCATCAATGTAAAGCAAGCTCGGTAAAAGGTAGAGCACAGATAAAACACAGGCACAGCCAAAAACCCATGTGAATTCTTAGAACACCCAAAAATAATGAAGCTTCCTCCCCCACCACCACTCCCCAAACCAAGACATCTCAAAATGATATGATAATAACCACATCTACCATCAGATAGACTACTACCACTGCTTCCACTGCCACAGCATGCCTCCTTACCTGCCAGGTGCCAACATGAAGCCTCCCATCAGTGACAGGTATGGTCAGCGACGAGCCTAGAAAACACGCCTTCACATGCGCCGGCTGCGAAGCGAGAACAAGCAGTGTTATGACGCGAGAAAAAAGGTACGGCCACAGCCCATGTAAACAAGGCTCTGGTATGAAGTATACCTGGCCAGACAGACATCGAAGAGGCAGTACAGTTTTGGCGCATGAAACATTGGACTTGCAATTGCAGCCTGATAGAAAACCAGCATGTGCAGTCAAAAAGAAATTACAGAGTCACCAGATAGAGGGCATGACACAGTATTGCACCGCTCACTGGCGCATTGCTCACCATATCATCCGGCCCCTCAGAGCAATGCTTATAAGGTAAGCCCTGAAAAAGAGAACCGAGAACCAAGTGAGAACATGTGGGACACAGTTTGTTCTGGACAAACTACTTCTATCATACTTGTGGCAGGAAAACTAGACAGATTCCTCTGGATTCACAGATTCTTCTGGACAAATTACTTCAGCATATTTGTGGTAGGAGAACTAGAAAGATTACTCTGGATTCGCAGATTCTGTGATTTTGTTCCAAAGCCTGACTTGGACTCCACCAACCCCATCACTTATGTAGGTTGTGGTTATCTGATTATCTACCAACTTACAAAAAATAGTTATCTAGAATGTGATATGAGCAATTATAATACCAATGGTATCGGCACATGCGATGTTCAGAAGCACTCACCTCAGGCACTATTTTGTTCAACATCATCTCCATATCATCTCGAACATGGGGGTCCCAGTTCTCATTCAGTGATAGGCTTGCAGATGTGTGCAAAACTGTAAACAGTGCAGATTTTACTTGAGGGGCCAACAGTTCTATCATATTTCTAGCATCTCTGGGTTTTAAATTGGGCAGATTACATAACAATATAAAAATGAGCTGATTCAGTTGGTCCTTCAGACATTGCTATCATCACATGGAGTTTCCAGCATAAGATAATTTTACATCCATTTACATACCCTATGCATCTCCCAGCTGGTTTTACGAAGCATTGTTGAACATTGTACCAAAACCATGTTTGTTAAAGTGCATGGATGACTTACAACACAACTGTAGGCCAACAGTGCCAAGTACTATGCAAGGACAGGCCTTCTGACCACCAACAAGGTGACTTGACACAACAATGACTCAACCAGTGTCAATGATGCACTGAGACACCAAATAGAATGCATTTATTTATGTTATTTACTGTCGTTATACACTATTTATAGCAATATGACTTTTGGCATAAGCCACTGTCATCAGCAGGGACAGTGTCATATGGCTTGATGGTAAGTAACCTGCAACTTACTATGGGCCTGGAACATCCACTATATCTATATATGATCATCACTGCCTGCTAACTACTGCCACCTATGATATTCAAGCTATGAAAACATTCCCTTACCATGACACAGAAACTCATTTTATAACACACTATCATTTGTGGGATACCATGCATGATATAGGTATGAGTAGCTTTGCAAACTGACTTTGAAGCATTTTAGCATGGTTAAGCAAGGGAGCTGACAGCAAAATAAAGCATTTCATCCTTTTAACATCCAGCTCTGAAGCTGGAATAATGCATGCGCCAAGACCAATCTGGCTTATATATGGATGCATGGGGAATATTATACAGAATCTTAAAAGCCACTAGAATTGCATAAACATAACATCTACCAAATACATATGACATCAACCAAGTACATAGCATATTAGACCCCTCCCATCTAAATAATATTATGTCCAGTTTCCAAGAGAATTGTATGAATGGAACTTATTGTTTTTGACACCTAAAAAGTAACATCTACTTGGACAATATTAACACATCTACCATCAATGTGGTTTCTGCATGACAATACAGTTTAACATTGTGCATATGGTATATGTGATATTCATGCTCATTTTTGGTCCAACCAAATATTTACAGATCCCAATAATTTACAAATGCTTTGAGAATGATCCTTGAAAGGAAAGAAGTAGTTCCTAAGCACCTCATGGGATGAAGAGATCTCTCAGCATCTTGATTGCATGCCTCATGTTGCTTATAAGTTGAAGTTTATAATATCTCAAAATTTGCATAAAAGATAAAGAAGAATGCAAAAAGCAGGACAAACAACAGTCTAACAAGTAACAGGGTCATACAGCTATCCCCATGAGATCATTGAGGTGCCATGAACATAACATCACAATGGCCCAGCCTCACAGCTAGGGCACAGGTCTATTAGTGATATGCAAGGCAAGTTTCTGACAAATTGACCCGATTAATGTTCACGTAATGGTCAGGTACAATCGCAGTTGAGCAAAATCATAGCAGAATGCATTACCCCGGCGAGAAGTGGCGCGGGTAACATTAAACAACTTACTCTGAACATGGCACATGCCCACCGAGAACTGTTTCAATTCGGGCACTTGTCTCAAAATTTCATCAGTAACAAGATGAACTCCTCTTTTTTGAGGTCTCAACTTTATTTTCCTCTGAAACCAGGCAGACCCTATCTGCAAATTGCCATTCGGGGACGCCATATTTGTATTATGGGTTCTGAAGAACCAAGGTGGACTATAAATGGTGAGCAAACTAAAAGACTGCAATAAATACTGTACGGGAAACATTCTGAAACTTCCTCGTACAAACCCCGCCGCACTAGTTTCTTCTACCGATAGAAATACACGTTCAAACATGACATGACAAATACATGTTCAGACATGTGCAATCATTTTTCAGTTCAAGAGTGTCATTTTAGATATAAGCCTTAAAATTGTTTTTCATTCACAGGACAGCCCGCTGTGCCCAGACATTTTGGCGAACTTCAGCATCTTTGAGATGCTGTGTTTGTGATCCCAAAAACTTGTGAGCTAGCAGACTTGAAATAGTTTTTCATCCTTCCGGGAATTCTTCCTTTTCATGCTGAAACTTTGAAAAATAGTTTCCAGCATGGGAGAGCCAGAGCTCGGCTCGTTTTTCCTGGCTAGCAATAATATCGTAGCCCACTACTGTGCCAGAAACGACTCATACGCGCCGCGCCTACAAGTGTTGTGCCCTCCTGGCCTGGGGTTGCTGGCTTGGTGGTGGAGGAACAGTGATTCTCGGAGCGAGGTGGTAGTGGGCTGGGGACAGGTTGACCTGTGGTAGCTGGCAATTTGGCACGTCATGTTAATTTGTCTGCCTTGTTGAGGTGATCATAGAGTAATTACCACTGCACGATACCATGGAGCATGGTCACTCTAAAAGGCGCAGCGCACCGGAGCGCTCTTTCGCTTACTCCTCTGGAACAGGAAGACCATTCAACAGAAAGTTCGCCAAGGGAAAATCTGGTAGGTGCTGGGGCCCATTGTGGAGATCCCAGTGATGATGACCTTACATGTTTCTTTCCATGCAATGTTGTTTATATGTCATGCCTTCCACCCATGTGTGTGTCACAGACCATTTAAATTATGTATTTAGGGTTGTTTCAAGGTCCTGGTGCTGGCTTTATAATGAAACTGGCCAGTCCACCCCATATGCTTGAGTTGATGTGTCTCAACTGTTGCAAATGCTGATGCCCATTTTGTTCTTAGTCTGTCATGATCAATTTGCTGTTGCAATGCTGGGTTGTGGAGACTTATGCCCGGTTTCAACCCTTGTTGTGCCTTTGTACTGGATATGCTTTACTTTCCCCTTGCTTTTCAAATGGAGAGTGACAAATTTTGATCATTTGATAAAATTGCTGGAAGATTGTGCATGTTTAAACAGCTTAAATTAGAAGCCCTGAAAACATCCACAGGTAAAGTCACGTCAAGTACCGGTTTTAAAAGCTCCACAACTGATTCCTTGTTTTTTTCCTAAAACAGTTTGTTACTACAATCAACAGTTGTGAAGAAATATGGTTATGAGAAGTGAGCTGGGCCAATCTGCAGAAGTTGAACATGTCTTCAAGTCTCACACAGGACTTACATGGTGAATAATGCTGTCTACAGCTTTTTTAAGGTCATCAGATGTATTTTTGGGCTACCTGTCAAAAACCAAGCAACATTGTTATTTGATTCAAAACATTTTGCCGATGTACTCAATTTGAACATTGAAAATAACCTACTTACATTTTCCATCATTACTTTACTTACAGTACATTACAGTATTACTTAACTTCCAGTATGTGATTACTTAACAGTACTTTCAGCATGGACACGCACAAAAACTGAAGGCATCATATCAGTACAGCATAAGCATTGTGATAATCATCAGACCTCTGGGGATGAGTCAGGAACACCAGGGGGGGGGGGGCTCATATTTCTAACCATGGGCCTTTTCTTCAGCTGCACAGCATAGGAAAGTCACTTGGCTACATGTGATGTTTTGATGATGTAAAACATCACAGTGCAGTCATCCTTTCTCAAAGAACGTATAGTCAATGAGGAATGTAGCACCAAGCAACGTGGCTTTCACCTTCACGTCCAAGTCGGTGGGGAAGGTGACCCCGAAGGTGTCTGCGTCGGTGAACGCCTCCCTCACCAGACCGCCCCACTGCTTGGTGATCTCACCGACCGGCCGGCGGCCGTCGGCGGTCAGCACCCTGAACGCCACGTCCCCGCAGAGGGAACAGGCGCAGGCGGGACCCTCGATCGCGAGCACGGCGTCGCCGTCCGCGCTCAGCACGTCGAACGAGCTCGTGCAGACGGACCAGTTCTGGCGCACGCTGCCGAGCGGCGCCGGCCCAGAGTACGCCTCCAGTCGCTGCAGCCAGGCCTGGGGACAGAGACAGCCCTGGCAGCGGAGCGGCCGCTCCAGGCGGAGTACCTCACGCCGGGTGACGTCCGTGACGCGGATGTCGAACGGCCGCCCCGGTCCACAGCAGTAGCGCACGCAGCATTCGCTGTCCTCCACGGCGACGTACAGCTGCTGGCCGAGCCTGTCCGTGATCGTATACTTGTTGGCCGTCTCGAAGCCGGTGAGGGCCTCCAGCAGCTCTACCCGCTGCTGGACGAGCAGCTGGTCCACCCGCATGAGGTACTCGAGGCCGGCGGGGCAGCCTGGTGGAGCCGTTGCCGCCACCATGAGCTCCCCGGCCATTGGCTGACCTTTGACTGACGACGGGTTGCCTCCAGGCTGTGGGTACCCTCCAAGCTGTGAGTAGCCTTCAGGCTGTGGGAAGCCTCCTGGCTGTGAGAAGCTCCCTGGCTGTGGGTAGCGTTCAGGCTGTGAGAAGCCTCCTGGTTGCGAGAAACTCCATGGCTGTGAGTAGCCTTCAGGCTTTGGGAGGCCTCCTAATTGTGAACATCCTCCAGGCTGTGGGGAATCTCCAGGTTGGGGATATCCTGCGACCTCTGGATAACCAGATTTTGCATAGCTTCCCAGCTGTGGCGAGCCTCGGGGTTGCGGATATCCTGCAGGCCGGGAGGAGCCTCCGGGCTGTGGAGAGCCTTCATGCCGCGAGTATCCACTCGGTTCACCATAGCCAGGCTGATCTCCGTGATCGGGTTCAGCGTTGTGTTCCTTGTAGGACATGGCGGTGTTGCCTTCGCCGTGGCTGCCCAGGGACGTGGGTGTCGGCGGCGCTTGCGTGCAGTAAATGGAGATGGAGGAAATGGAGGAATGGATATGGAGAAATGGAGATGGTCCTTCGGGATGCATAGACAGTACAAACGGTCATAGGCTATGTTTTAGCATTGGCCTTGTTATGTGGAAAGGCGTTGCACTCAGTTTAATCGGTTTAATCCACGGTTACTGGATCTACGTTCAGTCGCTAACTGAGGCGGTTCGGTGACAAGACACGTGACGCAATACACTGGAATCTTTCGATATAGAGTGCAGGTCGTCGAGCCTGGGTAGCGAGTCGTTGACCGACGCCACCATGATGGTGCAGCACTTACAAATGTATGCCCCAATGCGGCCTGTTGCCAACTTTTGGCAAGGTGTGGCATTATTCCTGTTGGTTTAGGGTTAGAGCACCCTCATAGGCTCTATGCCGTGTACCGTTCCCATTGCTGATGGGGTGTTTTGCCTACTTAAAAGGTGCAGTTGCGAAACATGCTCTTACATTTAAATGAACGGATTTTGAAACAGAGTTGTTGGAATGAAATCCATCGCCGTGTTTAGTTGTTGAAGTCATGTACAATGTGATAACGGACGATTCGGAAAAGTAATCATGGCTGGTAAAATAGGCTATTTTAACACAGCTTTACCTACGCATTAAGCGAAGTTATTCCTAAAAAGCACAGTGGCGAAACATGCAGGCGTCCTCGTGTTTGTGTCTAAATGTGGGTTAATATCGAACGTTTCACGATTGTATAAACCGCAGGACCGCGTTATGATGTGCAATACGCCCACTGCGACAAATTTATGATATATATATATATATATATATATATATATATATATATATATATATATATATATATGCATATACTGGCGTCTCGTACTGCTCGCATAGCAAAAGGCATGGTTGCTCTCACCACAATATACAAATCTTAACAGCTGAGCGGATTAACGATGCAAGAAACGTCACATACCTTAGTGCCAGAGGATACGCCATGGTTTGTGAGATTAAGGTGAAAAACTCTGGAATATGGGATGACCTAAGTCTTTCATGGCTGAACCCGTGCCAGTTCCCCACAACCAAAATGGGTGCGGCCTCTCATGACCGCCATAGAAGAGCGCCATCGGCGCCCCAAGTTGGCCTCTGAAGCGGCGCCTGCACTTGCCGATCTGAAAAGACGAGTGCGTCCAGTGCCTGCTGCCTGGATCCATCCCTGAATGACCTATGTACTGCTCAAATCAAATACTTTGTATAAATTATACAAGGTTTAAAAACATGCATTGCCTTTAATAAAAATGAAGTAGGCTAAATCTGGTAATAACAATGTATCATAAATATATAGTAATTATATATATATATATATATATATATATATATATATATATATTATCAATTACATCAAATCCAGCATTTACGGCATTGGCGATTTGTTCAAGACTTCGTGTGGTGTGCTTCTCGTTTTCGGTGTGTCGATATAGAAAATCACCAAACTGCATCCAATTTGTAATTCTTCGACCAGTTCGATGGTCATTTTGAAGAACATTATTGCATTCTAGACATGCGGTAACACACATTACATATATACCAGTTCTGTTTGCATCGTATTCCTACGAAGCACACGCTCCAGGCACTTGAAAATCATAATGTTTCCAAGGTGCATGATCTCCTTCAGTGTACACTTCTGCAGGCTGGAGTTTGTAGATTTAACACCATGTAAATTTAAAAGGTTGCTGTTTCGGTGACGGCATTACGGGGAGGGGCGGGGGGGGGGGGGGGGGGGGAGGGAGGGGGCGCGGGTTATCTTGCTAATCGTGTGCCGTACATTGTCAGTTACGTAAGTCGTCTGTTGTGTATGTTGATGGGCACCATGTCTCTTATGTTTGTGTTTGTTTCATGTTTCATTTCATTTCATTCAATGTTTCATGCGTGGTGAGGCGCCTGTGGTGTGGTATGCGCTAGTACAGTGTTGTTGATGACTAACGTGTTCCTGGTGGCGGGTGTCGTGGTGTGTACGCGCACGTGTTTCGGTCCCCCTCCCTTAAGCGGGTTTCACAGTCCCCGTCGGTGTACTAAAAATAGGAAACTGCATTGGTCAGTTTCATCTTTCGGTTGGTTGAGGTTGTTTCTCATAATGAGAGAAAACGTTTTTGAACTTTTGTAACATATTATAAATCTTAGTTTTTCAGTTGATCATTGGGGGCGCAGCGTTTGCGAACAATGTCACGCAATACGTAATCATCGGTTTTCCAAAATGTTGTCATTCTCATGACGTTCCTGAGAGGCATTAGTTCTTTTGTCTTTTTTCAGATAGTCATCGAGTAAGGACTTCGTAGCATTGTCTGAGTTACTATTTATGGATCCGCTTCTGGTAACCATTTGGCGCAGCCGGTTTAGCTCCCTATCGAAAGCATTCCGTGAATAATTTTTTTTGAAACCCCTGCGGATATAAGCCCGGGTGACCCATTTCCTGTGTTTATCTGGGCAGCCACCATTACCACCCCTGCATTCACCCTGGTTGGTGACTTTTCTGTAAACATTATCTGAAATTTACTATTTGATCAGTCGATCAGGAGGTCTAGAAATGGCAGTTTGTTTTTCACAATAAGGTCGGGCGTGAAATGCACCTGCCCGTCTACAAATATGCTTATGCGTATGTGGGGCTCCCAGTGGGGAGCCCATTGCAACTCCATCTGCATGGGCGTATAGGTTGCCTTGAGGGCATCTGAACGGAGCCTCTGATGTGCCCGTTCGAATCCTCACGCAACTACTACTGTACGACATACGACTAGTAAAGCAGCGCCCCCCCCCCCCCCCCCCCCCCCCCGCTCACTCCCGTAATGTGAAGCCACCGGACCAGCAACCTTTTAACTTGTTGTAACTTTTTGTAGTGAAAATGCAACAAGTTTTGGTGGCATGGAAGTACCTTGAATCAGATCATGCAGCATGCAATTCTCATTCTTTCAAATGGCTCGAACGTGTGTGTCGTAGGAATGTGATGCAAGTCGAACTGTTATATGTGTACTGTGTATGAGTGGGTGTTTAAAGTGTAATAATCGTCTTGAAAATTATCATGGAACTCATCAAAATGTTCAGAAATGGATGACCTTCGGTGATATTTTAAATGGACACACTGGAAACGAAAAACACACCATACGAAGTCTCGAACATGCCTAAGGTCATAAAAGGCCTGACTGTTGGGATATACAACCAGCAGTGCGTACGAGAAAACCTCGCCCACCAAAACAATGATCTCTTGAAATTCCCTCAATATTCGCTCAATATTCCCTCTTTTATTCATATGCCTCCGAGAACCCTCTATATTAAACGCGAAACAGGTGTGTCGTTTCCTATCGCGCGAAATGTTTGCCTTTGAAACTGCCCACTTTCAACGCCAAATATTATTGGTCCGTCTGAAGTGCAGGTATGACTGAAACGTACCTTTTACAGGTGCCGTTTCGGGAGAATTCACTGACAAACAGAAGGGAATTATGAGGCACTACCACCGTCTCCTGAAGAAGGAGCAGCGACAGGCGGGGGGCAAGGCAGGCGGCGCGGAAACGACACAGATCAATCGCAGGTGAGTTGGACCGGAACCTCGACGTCTAAGGAGCGTTAGCCAGTGATTCAGCTGAGTGTAGTCCGGTGTCTCACTGTCCCGGTACGACTTACGACACCTGCCACGCCACCTGGTGTGCGCCACGCGGGGACCCGAGTCAGCGGAATCCTCCGCGAGGGCGGTGGCGCCGCCAGTGCGCTCGTGTCTCAGCTCTCTTTTCAAGAGCGGCCGCACGTTCTACGTTTGTGGACGGGGCGGTGTACCAGGCATACCAGTGGGAACTGCACAGTGGTCTGGCTCGTTCTCTCTCACTCTCCTTTCAAAGATGGCCCCTGTAGCATGAGATGCGGTACGGACACGTGGCCAGATACGCCCATTGCTCTCAGAGTCCTCGTTCACGGTTCTCGATTTCATGCCGCCTGGTGCCGAGTTCATAAGCCGGTGACTATTATCACTATTAGCTGACAGCTAGATCGGAGTAAATAACTGAACCGGCGGTGCCTGTGTTCAAGCTGCGTTTGCACGGTCAGTGTCATTGCGCTCAGCTTTCTCCTGGGAGGTGTCATTTTCATCTTGCAATAGAGTGCTAATCTCCACTAAAACGCAACACGAAAAGTGAATTTGACGTCTACGTTGTCAAGCAGGCGGTGGTGTCATTTTGTGAACCCCGGCTGTGTTCGTCCCGGGCAGCCGATCTTTCCGAATATTTCTTTGTTCTTGAGCTGAATGCCTTCACGTGAAGACATTCAGCTTCACGTGAAAGTACATGAGCTGATGCCCTCATGTCTTCTTAGCTGCGTTGTTTTACAGATTGTCAACTATAAGGCGTAATGTGATTGTTAACTACTTGTGTGCTAAGTTTATTCGGCTGTTACGCGGAAGACATCTAACCAAGCACATTGACTTTTCAGCATTGCGGAAAACAAGAAGCGGATGAAGATGACCGCATATCAGAGGGCGCAAATGATCTACGAAGCGAAAGAGGAGAAAGGAGAAAACAGAGGGAAGAAGAAGAGCGACAGGAGAAGGAGCGGCAGACTGCTTTGAAGAAGTACCGGAAAAAGAAATTCGCGAGACTTCAGAAACTGACGCAGAAGACGAGCAAAGGCCAGCCAGTCATGAAGGGGCGAATCGAGGTCCTGCTTGAGAAAATCCAGGAAAACCTGTCCAAAGAGGACGGTTAATATATGTTGCCTCAGAGTGTCTTTTTGCCCCGCAGGCCTGCGATTGAGCGCTTGCCCAGTTCTGCTGGATCGCGCATGACCGCCCTTCCGCGTCACATGTCCGTGGGATGGCCGATACCCGACGATGCAGGGTCAGATGGACCGCATGCAGCAATGGCACGCGCTCGCTCAGGACGGCTCAGCGACTGAGGTGACAGCGTGTGCGGTGAAGCCAACACAGTTAGGAACAACTCTGATTAGCGCTGCAACTGGGAGCCGAAGGTAGCGTGCAATGTGGGGGTCTATTTGCCGTGTAAGGTGGCCAACCGACCCCCCCCCCCCCCCAACGCGCCCACGCCCACAGTTATTACCCGGTCGTAATAAGCGGAGTACTCACTCGCTGAATGTGTCGTTTCCGGCACCCCACACTTGATTCGTGACCGATGCACTGGGCATCGGACTCACGCTTGCTGAGGGTAGGCCCCAGTCATGCCGCGGCCCTCGTTTCTGACACGGGCCCGCCCGATGTACGTCTCTTATGACGTCATTACGCTACCGAATCTCAGTAAATGAATACGAATTTAGTTTAATTGCACTGCATCAACGACAAATTCTAAGATTATTTAGCACAGTGCTTAGAATTTTAAGAAACGACCATGTTTTTTAACTACGTTGTCCGCCCAGAAACCCGCTCGCCGCCCACATCGGAGTTTTTTTTTTTGTCCTGAAGGGATCCACGATATCGGAAGAGGCAACTGGGAACTCCCTTGTACAGAAACGTGGCTCGCTGTTACATCTACTGTGCACTAAGTGTATTCTCCTGCATTGTAATTTCCAATATCGTACCTTCGTCTTAACCGTTTGCCGGAAACGTTTGGGTTCTCCGAAAACCCGCTGGATGCTTATGCGGATTTCGAGAACAGTTCTCACTTTATCATTGGGCTCGCGGGTGTCCCGGCGGGCGTCTGCGTGCGTCGTTCAGACGTTCTGGATGGTTGACCGGCGTGCCGTTCAGAGTGGTAGGTAGCTCATATGTAGAATAGAGGTAGCAGGAAACGTTTCTTCTTCCGGCAATAGCCTCTCTCAAGAGGGCAGCACTGTAGGGGGGTCTTAACCGCAGCTTGTGCCGCTCCTGGTGCTCTTTGAAGAGACGGCTGATCCTATACTACCTACCGGTCAAAATACATCATTTTTTTCATTTTTTGGTCTACAAACCAAGCATCGTTTCCCAGAGTTGCGTGACCCAGTTTTGAAAGTCTTAATAACAGAATCACACAAATAACGGAATCCTGCGAGTGTAACAAACATATTTCTGATGATCACACACGCAGATGCATAACATAGGTGGTCGCAGAGACACAAGCGCTTCTCATGCTAGATGACGTAAAGTTTGTTCACAACTGGCGGAGTGCAGCAGGCTGATCATGAATGGTACAAAGTGAAGGAAACTAAAAAATTGAGCCCACTACAGATGCATATAAAAATCGCTTTCATAGTGATTTTCACAACTTACAGGGCAACAGGGTGTGTCCCTCTGAATACGCCTCTGCAGGTGAACTTGGCGCAGGGCGGCGAAATGTGGCTTTACAGCTAGCGCTATATTTGCGACACACACAACAGTACTCTCGCACAACCCATGACGTGAAACGAATAACATCAAACTGGTTACAAAACGTGATTTGGTATAAAAATACTGTCGGCCCACGCTGCAGGACAAAAAAGGCATTCTCTCGACAGCACAAACGTTTATCTTGACTACCAAATAACTTCCATTCGCTTCAACACAACAATAATAAAAAGCATTGCAACGAAATGTATCTCATCATGTAACATATGTACATCCACCACACCGGCGGAGATCGTCCAGACACCACGAGTCATCTGCGGTCGTTGGCGGGGGTAGGCTGCGGCGCCAGCGTGCGGCAGCTCCGACCACAAATGATCACCAGTTAAAACTGTCTACCCTGTCACGGTGTGCGTGCCGCACGTGCGCGTTCCTCCGAGCAAGCTCTTGGCCGCCCGGGAGCGAGGGGCGCACGTCTTTCCATGCCGGCCCTATCGCCCCGGTTCGCCTCTCGTCACATGGTTACAACACAACTAACAGAAGCCGGCAGCGGCGGCGGCGGCGGCGGCGGCGGCTGGGCGGCTACCGCAGCGGCCGCACCGGTCCCAGGTTAAAGAAGGCCACGGGCCGCGGGCTGGGCCCCGTCTTGCCCAGTCCTTGCAGGCTGATGATGGGCAGCCCCAGCTGGCCCTGGCGCTGGTTAACCTGCGACACCGGCAGGAAGCCGCGCACGCCCAGCCCCTCCAGCTGCTCGCGGCTGACCTGGCTGAGGTCAAACACGGGCACCACCAGCTCGGAGACGCCGCGCGCCGGCGCCGGCGGCGGCAGCGCGGAGCCATGCCGCGTCTGCATGTGCTGCTGCAGCAGCGCCAGGTTCTGCATGACGATGCCGCACACGCGGCAGCGCAGGTTCTGGCTGGGCCCGCCCAGGTGCGCCTTCTCGTGCTGCGCCAGCGCCGCGGCGCTCGGCAGCACGCGCTCGCAGTAGCGGCAGGCGAGCGGGCCGCGCGGCGCCGGCGTGTCCGACGTCAGGTCGACGGTCGGCGGCCGCGACGGTCGCGACGCGCTGGTCAGCTGCACGCCCGGCGGCCGCGGCACGGCGAAGCCGTCGCCGCCCGAGCTCGACGCCGGCGTCAGCGAGATGCCGGCCGGCAGGTTGGGCAGGGAGAGCGGCGGCTGCGGCGCGGCGCTGGGCGCCGCCGCCGCCGCCGCCGGCGTGATCGAGATGCCGCGGTTGGCTAGGATGGAGGCGACGTCGGCGCCGGGTGCCGAGGCGGCGCCGCCCGCCCGCCTGCGCGCCCTGCACGCTCAGCGTGATGGAGTCGCTGAGACGGATGGTCGAGCCGCCGGCGCCGGACGCGTACGCGCTGCCCTCCACGTTCTGGATCACGGGCACGCCCTGCTGGCGCCGCTGCACGGCGATCACCTGGCAGTCAGACTTGTCCGGCTGGATGGGAATGCCGGGTCGCGGCCGCTTGCTCGGGTCGTGGCCGACCAGACCCGGCATCGGCCGCTTCTGCGGGCTGATCACGGACACGCGGCCGCCGGCCGGCAGGGGCTGGCCCGGCCGCGGCATGGCGCCGGCGCCCATGCCCATGCCGCGGCCGCGCAGCCCGTTGGCCATCTGCAGCTGCGCCAAGCGGCCGGGGTCGAGCGGGGGTCGGCCGCGCCGGATGTGCGGAAACCGCTGGCTGCCGGCCAGCCCGGCCATCACCGGGCCCGGCTGGCCGCCCATGGGCCGCAGGCTGGTCATGTGGCCGGACATGTCACTGTTGGGCGGACGGCCGATCGCGCCCGTCTGCATCTTGCCGTGGAACGTGACGCTGTGCGCCTTCAAGTCGCTGACGGAGTTCGCCTTGAAGGGGCACATGCTGCACTGCAGCGAGCTCTGGTGCGTCAGCAGATGCTCCTGCAGCGAGCGCACGTCCGGCAGCGGCACGTTGCACACGAAGCACGAGACGGTGCCGCTCTGCGGCGGCGCGCCCGGCCGCACGCCCTGCGTTAGCGGCGGCAGGCCGGCCGCCGCCGGCTGCAGCGCCGGCGGCGGCCGCGCGCCGTCCGGCCGCGGCTGCAGCGTCGGCGGCGGCTGCGGCTGCGGCGTCGGCGGCGCCTCGTGTCGAAAGCTGCGCTCGTCTGGGATGTTGGCCGCGATGGCAGCCATTCGGATGAGCGGCTGGCCGGCGGCCGCGTCGCCGCCGGCGTCGGCCGCCGCGTCCGGCGCCGGCTCGGCTCCGTCACCCTCGCCGTCTCCGGCGGCCGGCACCAGGTCCTGCAGGCTGGGCGCCACCAGGTCGGCGTCGCCGGCTGGGGTGCCCGGGTCGGAGGCCACCGAGCGCGGCGGCGCCGGGCTGCCCGCCGACGCGTCCACGTCGCTGGGCGGCGCCGGCGGCGCCGACGCCGTCAGCCGCTGCTGGCCGGCGGCCGGCGAGCCCACCGGCAGCAGGCGCGGCAGCGGCGGCGTGGCCGAGCTGCGCGCGCCGGCGCGGTTCAGCGAGTCGAGCAGGCGCAGCAACGTCGTCCTGCTCCTCGCCCTCCGCCAGCACGTCGGCCGTCACGCCGTGGTCCTCCCCGTCGCCGCCTCCGTCGCCTCCGTCGCCTCCGTCGCCGTCGCCGCCGTCGCCGACGTCGTGTCGCGCCGTCTCCTCGGTCGGCTCGGCGTCGCTCGGTAGACCGCTGTCGGCCGGCTCATCGCCGTCCGACAGCTGCAGCTGCGCGTACTCTTCCGAATCGAACGCCTCGTCCGGCTCGTCCGCACCTTCGTCCGCGTACGGGTCGTCTAGCTCGGTCGCCCCACCGTCCTCGGCCGGCGGCGGCTCGTCCCGATCCTGCGAGCCGTCGCCGTGCCAGGCCGCCACCTCGCCGTCGTCCGCCTGCCCGGCGTCGCCGGCCGGCTCGGCCGGCTCGGCCGGCTCGGCGGGCTCGGCGGGCTCGGCGGGCTCGGCGGGCGCACCGCCGTCCGCCGCCGCCGAGTCGTCCGCATCCTGCCACTGCGAGCTCTCGGACGACGGGCGCTCGGCCACGCCCTCGTCCAGCGGCCCGGCCGACCAGCGCGAGTCCTCGTCGGCCGCCGACAGCTGGTCCTCGTTGATGGTCAGGCCGTTGGACTCGTCGCCGCTGTCGGTCAGCAGCCGGCGGGGGTCGACGGCCGGCGACGGTGGCGCCTCTGGCGGCCAGTCGGGCAGCTGGCCGGCCGGCTCGGTGTGCGTTGACGGTACGCTGGGCGGCGCCGCGGTCTCCGAGGAGTCCATGCCCGAGTCGGAGCCGGTCGAGGAGCAGCCGTCCGACGGGATCACCTGGCGGCGCCGGGGATGGCGTCAGCTTAGCGGCTTACGAGAGCGACATGGCACGCTGCGCTCCGTGCTGGAGTGCGGACAGCCCTGAAAACGACGATCCATTCCCTCCGCAGATAGCTCTCCAACCTGGCCTGTGCTTGCAGAGCACCACAGTAGCCAAAACACACGGCGTTCAGACAGAATCTCCCTCACTCACTGCCTAACACAGCCATCCGGAGCGTTTTCCGTCCTCCAATCCATCCCGCCGCGGCCCGCGACTGGCCGCGACCGGGTCCCGGCGGCGGGCCCCGGTCGGGACTTTCCCGTCCGAACGACCCGAGCCCGGTCGATGGCTCGCCAGCCCAATCCCAATAAAGTAAAGTTCTGGGGAGGCGCTGCAGCCGGCCGGGCGCGGGCTGCTGCGCCCTGGCCGCAGCACGGCCGCGCAGACTGGCTGCCCCAGCAGGCGGCGGCTGCACGGCGGGGGCGGTGTAACGTGCGGCGAGCACGCAGAAGTCAGGCTCGCGTTCAGTGTGTGTCGTCAGCGATGCCTATCGTCTATGCCAGATTCGATCGTCTGATATATTTTATGCTCGGATGTTGATAATGAACGTGACAAGCGCACAATGATGTTACACAACCCGATGCGCCGCATGCGGCCACACACACATGCCACACCTGCGTCAATGTGGCAGTCGAAGCCACATCGCTTCGGATGAAGTCGACCCGATTTATCAGCGCTCAGCGTACCATACACCCTTCCCTTGCCCACATGGCCCCAGTGCAGCAGCTGCAGCGTTGGGAGGGTATGAGAGCTGCTGTTGACAGGGCCCGTCCGTGGCTGGCGGTGCCTCCGTCTGGTCGCACGCCCGGTCCGGTCCGGTGTCGGACGGCGCCACCTCTGACCTTCCGCTGGCCCCTGACCCCCGGCACACCTCCTGACCTCGGCACCACCGGTGTGGGGTGCAGCCTCGTCCCCGTGCCGCTCACGGCCTTGGACCCGGGGAGGACGGCGGGTGGGGAGAGTTCAGCGGCCTGGCAGGCCCACTGACCACATGGACTCGCTCCAACACGAAGGGGATGCTCTTTGGGAGCTTGAGCTTGGGGAGGAGCTCGGAAGGGCTTCTCAATGTTTCATAGACCGATCATGCATCCGTGGCCACCATAGCGGGCATCGCCTTCGTCCACTCCGAGATACCAGACAACAAAAACGTAAAAGGGACTTTCGTGGGAATCATATCACGGGGACACATACAGCACAGTAACACACGTCTGTTGTCAAAAAATAAAATAACACCGGCTAGCGTGAATGACACCAACTGACTTGCTAAAGATAATGACACACACAGTTGGTGCGCATTGCATGATACCGTTGCCAGCTGGAGGTCGGTCACCACGCCAAAGCCTTTGATGCTGGGTGCCAGAAGAAAGGTCAATCAGCAGCCCGCCGGCCCGTCAGCCCATACAGCAGGGCACTGTGACCTGGTACGGACACACTCCCCACAGGTCTGGTGCAGCCCTGATTGCTATCACGCTTTCAAGGCCGTCTCAATCCCATGGCAACTTCTGACGATAATCCCCGGACCCCACCGTGCGCCACCCTCGATCCCGGTCTGTTCCCAATCCCGTCCCTCCACGACCCCACTCCGCCACAACCCAATCCGTCCGATCGCACCGTTTCATGCACCCAGCTAATGCATCCCGTCAGGGCACGAACAACAGCCAGGCCTCAGCGGGGCTTAGCAGATCAGCTTGGCCGTTCTGGCCGGGTTGTCCACAGCCGGCTCCCTCCCCCTCCCCGCCAGCGGCCTCACCCTAAGCAGCGCAGGCGGGCCGTGCCTGGCCGGTGTCCCCAGCGGCTCCCCTCCCCCCCCCCCCCCTCCCCCGTCAGCGGCCTCACCTCAGCAAGCGGCAGTCGGGACCGTTCCTCGCCGCTGTCCCAGTCCCCCCCCCCCCTCATAAGCGGCCTCACCTCAGAAACGGCAGCTTGGTCATTCCTAGCCGGTGTACCAGCCCCCTCCCCTCCCCTCCCCTCCCCCCCCCCCCGCCAGCGGCCTCACCTCGAAACTGGTGCGGCAGGCCGTTCTGCTTCCTGGCTGCTGCGGCGCAGGGTGAGTTTGAGGGCGGCGCCAGCCGCCGCACCGATTGGAGGACGCTCCAGAATGACCTGCGGCTCCGGCCGCCGCGCCAGATGGTGGTACAGGTGGTGGTCGTGGAAGTAGCTGAAGCTGGGGAAGCTGTCGATGCCGCACGCGGTGCAGCGCAGCCGGCGGTCAAACTGTGGGCAGAGGGAACGGAGCGTTGCCGGACGGAGAGAGCGGTGCAGTGCGGCGAGGCAGAGAGAGGACAGAGCACGAGCAGGCAGGCGGGGCCCTGAAGACGGACTGTGGACGTGAGGAAGATTTAGGTCCTCGACAACCCAGGGGCGCCGACAGCAGGGATAATGCGACAGCTACCTACATCCCTTTCCTGGAACGTGGTCCACGGCGCATTGCAAACGTCAGATATGATAATTCGTCCCGCCTCGTCTTGGTGATCGCCCATTATTGATGATAGCACGAACAAACTACCTGATGTTCACACCGACGCAATTCAATGCAACACCAGACTCATTCGGGAGATACTAACAGTGAGGTTTATAAATGACAGTAGCACATAATACACGCCAGACACGTCTGATCTGTTGGCCCATCGCCAACGACCCCATCGGACCCATGTTCGCAAATGTCATCTACGGAAGCCGACCAGGAGTGTGGTCAACAGGAGGGTCAAAGGGGTCGTGCCCTCCCCCCCCCCCTCGAGTCAAACGACAAGTATTAGATACTGGGTGATCGTGCAGAAATTCCGTCCAGAAAATGTTATATTTGCCTTCTCCTGAGAATGACTTCAGCTCCGTGCCGCAACGAAATAACCAGTTGTAAAAGTTGCAAACTCATTGTGAGCCTTACCGCAGTATTATTTTTAGACAGGATAAGTGGCATCAATGGCTTGCTTGAGAGCTGATAGCATCAGAATCCTCACTAAGCACATATGTTTTGTGCAAACTGCCCGTCATTCCCCAACTCGTGCAAGCTATCGAATATTGTCGTCGCCGTCTGCCGACCGAGCCACATTGAGGAATGTATCATGTGATGCTGCACACATGCCTATCTGGTAAGCGTTCCAATTTCATATAGAACCATGAAATACGGCACAACGCAATCGTAGAAAGGCGACAACCGCATCACGTGATGACGATTTGCGTCGAGGCTCCATCCGTCTCCTCACTTCATTCGAAACGAATCCAGCTTGCTAACTGCTATAGTACTGGGCCATACCCCAGTCAAGTACTTCGTGCTGCTTGCCACCACTTAGGGTCAGCATTTGCAAACTGTCATCGCATGAACAATGGACTATGGTTCTCACATGTAACCAACGAAACATTGTATTACTTCCACGCTTTGAAGTGGACCAAAGATTGACATCTTTATCCAAATACTTCGGAGGAGAAAAGAATCGATCCTAAATCTTACCGGAGCAAGCCTTGCATGCCACACAATCTGACCAAAGCTCCAAAGCATCAGCTCGCAACAACAGTCTAAAATAAAACCTCTCCTGCAAAATGGTGAATGACTAAACAAAATTATCCAAAAGCTATCTTCTTAGCAACTTTACTTGTATGGCAGTACACGCCCCTCACATTTCGATACATCATATACCGCAAGGCAACTCTAAACTAGGTAACGCGCTCCGGGCAATTTTACACAGGGCAAGGTGTACCAAATGCGGCAGCTAGGTAAAATACAATCTTAAGAACAAAATGGTGTTCTTTAACATTGCACCACATCTAAGGTACTTTCAAAACAAACTAATTACATGAAATTTGCGGGTAATATCGGCTTTTTAAGACCCAAAAAAGTTGATGGCAACAGTTGGCTATGGGCATAGAAATTATGTCTATGGCGGCAATGGCCAAGAAATGGGAGCTTTAGGGCATATAATCTGGCGCATGGTAGACAAAACGTTACATGCCGTTTCCACGGCAACAGCGTTGCGTGCTTTCAAGGCAAGGCTATCTAACGAGGTAGAACCGTCCGGTCCGAAAAAGTGGCAACATCGAGCTTGCGTGAGAATAGAGGTAGTTTGGAAGCAAAGCCTGCATGACGTCAAGTATACCAAATTTGATGACGTCAGTAGTACGGAGGCCTCTCAGGTAGCCAGCTGACTGCTACGCAACCCATTAGTTCGAATGGCGACTATGTTTTGGTGGCGTGCGGCTGGTGGTTCCCCGTTGGACTGAGAAGAAATTATCCGTCATTTCGCTATTCACACACATTTCTGGAAAGAATAGTGAGTCCTGGAACAGTTTAGCCTTTTCAGAACGTACGATTTTTTCATGTATGATGATATAACACGGAGTTATATGTCATGCGGCGTTTGTGGTGTGTTGCATTCCATGACCAGGCTTGTCCAAGACTGGCTTGTCGTTAGATAGCATGCTTGTCTGTGCCGTTTGTGCCTGGTGGCAGAGTTGGACAGCTCAACTTGCATAATTTGCTCTGTCTATAGGTGTGATTATATGGGCATTTGCAATACTGATTTGTAATAGCTCCCACTCCCCTTATCACAGCGATGTGAGTACAGTTAGGTAAGTGCAGTAAAACCCTATGATATTGGCCTCATGATACTACAGTCAAGTGTGTTTTACTTCAGGGCTTGTACACATATGCATAATAAAATATTCACAGACCGAGCATTTTAAATGCTACCAATCGTTGAAGACAAACCACACAAGAGATCTCTCGTACGAGGCGTAGTCATGGCAACTGATCGCAACCCACTGATGTGAAGCGCCAAGCAACTGCGATACGCGATGCGCTACAAACGCCGCATGACGTTTAAACCCTAGTTACATGGTCAATACGGGACCTGATTATCAAATAGAATATTGGCAGTTTGCATCATGGCGGAATGTATTTGCAATCGCAAGTCACAATCTGAATATGAATGGATTGGGGTATATATCTAATCATCTATCTTGAATATCTGCATCATGTATGGCTAACAGCGTAATGGTGTGCATAATGTGCGGCAGCCTGTTAAGTCAATAATGTAGGCAGTTCAGAGTCTGATAGTGTGAGCAATGGTTGGTGGTATGCTATGTTGCCTAACGTTCTTCCACCAAAAACTACTTCCCCTTTTATTCATGTGTATCTCCAGTTGTAAGGTGTTTTACAGGACTGAGTGCTTGGCTGGCCAGCTGTGGGCGCAAGGATTTACTGAATCAGTCAGAACTCAACATCAAAGCCGCCCCACCAACCCAGTCCAGTTCGGTCTACCGTTCTGCTGCAACAGCCGGCAGTGGCTTTGATGAGACGATCCCTGGAATTACCACAAGCGAGGGATTCGTCCATGTTCGTTTTGCATGGTCCAGAGTGCCGTGGAACGTTCCAGATATTTCTCAGGGTGGTGCTCAAATCATCGTTTAGGGAGCACTGCTTCTTTACTTGTTTATTTCTTGTGACGAAAATTCCTGATCTGCCAATCAAGTCTTGCGGACTAAGTGCCTATCCACGCAAATGCATCAAAATGTGTGTTTTAGTATTCACTCGGCAAGCCAAGTGAAATCGGCTCCGGATTACAGTTCACTGTGGTGCGTTTACTGTGGTGTGTTTATGAGGGGCACAAAATGACTCCGCACTCGGCGGGGGAGGAACATTTGGACAGCCCAATGACATGAACGATCGCGAATATGGATTCACCCAACCCACTACGAAATTCCGGTATCCCTCAGACTTACGCCAATTCAGTCAGATGAAAAACCACAAAAAGATAAAGCGAATAGGCTGCGGCATGCGACATGTGATGTGGCTAGAACGGAGTTAGAACAGCTGAGCGTAAGTAGGGAGTGAGGGAGGGGGGGGGGGGGGGGCGGTATCTGATCATTTGAGGAGAGTGAGCGCTGAGGAGCTTAGTAGTTTTGAGTACGGAGAGATACTGAAAGCAGATGGAGTGTGGAGAGATACTGGAAGTAGATGGAGTGTGGAGAGATGCCCTTAGTACTCGGAGTACGAATAAAACCATTAAACACGTTACGGATTGTCAAAAATAAATTTTCGTCACCTAAGCGCAGCAGCCTTCCTAGTGTTCCTGGACTTAACAGCATATGCTAGAATAATTCATGTTCGTGGCTCCGGGCAATCATGGCTGCCTTCGTACGCCTTCACAAAAACAAAACTGCGATAGATGCGTCGAGCCCACTACCCCTGAATAAGATCCTAGAAAACGCATCCAGGACACAAAAGTTATCATGTTTCGAGACCACTTCCATGAAACTTCAGGTTATAAAGAACAGACAGAGCTGTGAACAGCACTCCCTAACTTGTATAGCAGCCACGCCAATGTGCCGGCTGCAAGTCAGTCATAAAGCGCATGCTCGGAGAACGCTAACCAATTCACAGCAATGCATGACGACTGCTGCTGTAAATATGAAGAGATTAACGTAGCACGCATCGAAGCCCCAGGGCATGGATATTTCAACGGATTGTCATTAAATGAATTATGTGTTTTATGGACATTTTCATTGCAGGGTCTCATACCATTTGTTACCGAAGCAAGTCGGTCATATAGTCCTCACATCATATTGTTAGACGTGGGCTTGGATAACGACAACGTGATCTGAACATGAAGCGCCCTCTGGTAATGTGGAACAAAGAGTGCGGTGGAACTTTAGCCACGTCGCTACCCCTGATATCAGACAGGCTTTGATCTCAATTTTTTGTGTTGTGAGTTCAGAGTTCTCAAGAAGATAGCTATCGGCCCCCGATTTCAGTTTACCAGGGAGCACTGGTTAAGCGACATTATCAAGCAAAGATGGTTATTATGTCAGTGCTCGACGTTTCGAGCTGCACCAATGATCACCACGTTGTACCATGACCACTGGTCATAAATATTCATCACAGCACCAAGGCCAAGACACCAACGAGACCAGACGGAACCAAGGCAATCGCACCACAGTTCCACAACATTGGCGCTATGGGCCTACCTACAACTAAGGGGCGCTTGGCTCGCGGGCGGGGCGACCGCGTACAAACCTTGGCCGGGGCGGGTTTCCTGCGTCTCTTGAGAGTCACGTGGTGCTGTTTGATGTGGTCGGAGAGCTGGGCCGAGGTGGCGCAGCGCACTGGGCAGCGGCGGCAGGCGACGGGGTGCGTCACCAAGTGACAGGTCATGTGCCGCACCAGGTCCTCGTGCAAGGCGAACCGCTCCTGGCACACGTTACACTCGCTGAAGAACGCGACCAGCACGGGCTCGCTCGGTCTCGGAGATGCTGCAAAGAGATGAGAGACTGGAGGTGACAGGTGACGAGGTCCTGCGTGGGTCCGCCTGTCGTCGAGACTGTCGCACGTCCGAAAGGCGAGACATGTGGTGCGGGGGTGAAGTCTCTCACTCGGCCGGGCTCGTCGCGTCCGTGGCGCACGCGTCATGGCGAGATGCGCCTACGAACGCCATGAGAGGCTACACTCTACCTCTAGGGCCGTCCCAGCGCATCAGAAAGGTAGATCGCAAGTCCCCTGTCCGATGGTGATCACCCCGCGATAACGTAAATCTTGGGACTGACGTCCATGGGTGACGTGGAGGCAGCTTTGACGTTAGCATTGAACAATGACGTTGAGAAACGCAGGGCACAAAATTGATCAAGCGCTGAAGGATTAAGTCAGGCACAAAACTGGAGTAATCACAGTAACCCATGCGCCACAACTACACACTCCACACAACAAAGACATCGCATCGCGCGAATTGCGTAAAATGTCACAAGCCTCCGACACTTAGATCAAAGCGGTTCAAACAGCACAACAAAATGGCTCTACATAGAAATGTTCAAAGAATCTAACGGCTGAAAACCACCCAACAAACATAAATGTTCAAAACCATTCAACAAATTACCACGTCCGAAACCGTTACACAAATAAAACTGTCCTCTCAACGAATACGAATCGCTGACATCCAACGCAAAACAACACAATGAGCGTGTACACTGGGCCCAACTACACACAATAGAAGAAGGGGACCAAAAGTGAAATAAAAAAGAGCATTCCGCACATTTAAACAAAGACATAACGGAACATGTCCATGAGCAAGTCAACCCATTCGAAACGTATGAGCGCAAGGCAAGGAGTCATACGGCATTGCGCGCTCGAATGGCGAGATGACGTTTTAGGCATCGCTGACCACCATAAATTGGAGGCAAAAACCTCTGTTCAGCGGATGCAGACGCCACAAAGATTTCGCTTGGGGGGGGGGGGGAGGCATTAGATGTGCCGGAGGTGGCCACCCCAATACAATCCTTACAATAGAATCGTTGCTGCCGTCAAGCCTGGCAACCCCACCACACTGGTAACTGCCATGTTTGCAGCAATTTTCGCTAAAACACTCGGGAGTAGGGATCAGTGGCCGTTGCCTGAAAAACCGCAAAGAACCTGAGCTCCACTGGTGCGCCTTTTATTAAGTCCGTTAGCACGGGTGGCTGCACCCGTTCCATGTTTCCGCCGCTTCATCCGCCTAGAAACTAAACAAAGGATGACTGGCCCTCTCGCCAAGGGATGGAAGGCCACCGCGCCAGATATGGGATTCCCTTCCAAATTCAGACCGTGCTCAGCAAATCCCAGCCCCAGCGCAAAACATCCCAAGTCCTACCCTATGCCCATGTAATATGCAGATGGTTCGTGCGATACGCTGTTATGATGTCCCAAAATCCAAACAAAGGTCACAAACTTTCCGCTCGCCACGGAAAAATAATACCCGTACATAGGTGAGGGTAAAAAAGCACCATAACAAAGTGACCATAACACCGGTTGTGTGGGCCTGTCTGAACCGTGTCTGTAATATGCAATCGAGTAATACCACAACAGCTAAGTGAATTTGCGAGGAACATTATACACACATAAGATAATGATGTTGGCCTAATCCCGCGTGAAATAACCAGGAGAGGGGAGAGATAGACGCAGTAGTATTTCAGTTTCATGCTTTTATCCAGACGAATGTTGGTGTACTAATATTTTTTTAAAGTAATAACATCATACGTATTCGTTTTGATCAAAGCATGTAGCAGAAACATTAATGCATCTACATCTCCTTTCTCCCGGTTATTCGACGAGGAATTAGGGTAACAGCATTGCCCTGTGAATACTACGATAGAAATGTGCGTGCGCACACACACACACACACACACACACACGCGCACACACACACACACACACACACACACACACACACATACACACACACACACACACACACACACACACACACACACACACACACACACACACACACACACACACACACACACACACACATGTATACAAACATCCTAACATATGGTCTAAAAACTTGAAACAAAAACTGCTAACATTGTAGTGATCTTAACAAAACAAGAATGCAAAATTATACCCTACACGGATGTCATTTATCCCAAACAAGGACTTCACAACCATTCATGCCTGGCCCCCAGATGCCGTAACCCATGGCGAAGCATTCCCAGCTGGAGAATAACCAACAAAAACCCACGCCCATCTCGTGTTAACAGTCAACCTCCAGCGCAGGCACCGAGCAGCAGACAGGCAGCCAGATGCAGCAAGACAACAAAAGCAGGCGCACCTGCCACCTAAGAGCGGAACTCAACTCACGATATTAGGCGCCGCCAATCTGAAAGCAGCGAAACATTGCCATTTGTGATGGAACAACTGTAAGGCGCCGACATCCCTGCAGTCCGACGGGAACTGATCTCGCGCTGATCATAACGTGGTGCTGCGCCCACAGGTGGATATTGTGACGGCGCCGAGGCCAGTGACCTCGGTACCACGCGTGACGGCGTCGGCTTCCGTCGCTGTTCAACCTCAGTGACGGAGGTGCACGCCGCAGAATTCGGCGGCGACGGGAGCCAAGAAAATTAACGGAACAAAGACAAGAGCAAAGATGGCGCGGGATGAACCACCACAGAATAGCGCGGAGAAACGCCGGGGGGGGACATGTCTGACATTCATCCATATCCGGCATCCACCGACCTCTCACACATGTTCTGTCCAACTGACACAAGCCTGTGCTCAATGACAATTTAGCGGTCAACACTTAAACATTCGGGTGTTGAGCGCTACGGACAGTCGACGGAGCGTAAACAGTCACACTATTTTGATCTCAACAGATGCGCGTTCGTCCAGGAGGCCATGGGTGCAACCACGTCACTGACATTAAGGTGGACCTGAAAGACGTGCATTCTGCCAGCAAAAATTCCAGGGGATAGACTGCGTTTGATGAAAGTTATTGGATACATTCCCCGGACGCCTCTCCGCCCTTCGGTGTGCATCCTCATTCCAGTTGCTGCTGTGAATATCCGTTTTTTACTGGCGGCTACTTCGGTATCGCTCTCGAGCTCGCAGAAGTCTTCCAAGGACGCCATGTCGTTACGCTCACTCGCACCCCCCCCCCCCCCCCCTCTCGACAATACTTATGATCATGCACGATCAAATACGTAGTTCCATGAACCTATCCAGATAACGGGGTTGTCACATGTGTGGGGTCACGTGTCCTCTCCGCCAGTCCGCTCACCCCGGACTCCACGCTCGAGGGTCGTCACGCTCATCGCGTTTCTGGGTTTGATTTCAGTATTAAGGATACCCCGGAAAACACAGCGACAACCCAGTCCCTCCACAGACCTGAAGAACCCATGCATGTCGCAACGTGTCACTAAGCCAGACCGTAGCCATTTTCTCCTCTGGACTTGGGGCCAAACGTTAAATTTTGTTTCAGAACCAGATAACTTGGACGGAATTCCTGCGGAATGGCTCATGATCTAGTGTGACTGTAGTGACTCACAGTGGGGGCATGCCCCCCCCCCCCCGCCCACGGTTATGTTTCGACACTAAGCGTTGATATCTGCGTAGCTCGAAGCAGAAGACAACTGCGTATTTCGAAACATACAGAAACCCAACAGCAGAGTATCAGCTACAATCGCAATCTGGTTTCACAAGCATGATCAGAATGTCAACTCGGACGAAATACAACACCTCAGCTAACGCGTTCATTTCCCATGGCATGCCACATCACTATTACACATCATTCATTCCACCTGTGGTGCGTTGGACTATGGACTGCGAACTACGAACCGCCCCATCATTTATGAATGAGAAATGCACGTCCAATCCAGAGACTTCCTTATTTTAGCAAATGTCTCCTTTCATTAGCGGTAGTCATTACAACACTCGTCACAAGGCCCAATGTTCCGGTCATCTACCCAATGACTTGCGTTATAGTTGCGTTGTAAGGAACTTAACACTTGTCTCCCCAAACACAATACTGCCTCCGAAATGCAGTCAAGTTTGGGTCCCCAAAAGCTACGCGCTGCCCTCGTTCTGTCAAACCCTCCCGAGTAAGTGAGATATCGTCAATTTACCACTGGATTGGCGTCGCTCTCTCGCCCCCTGTCACGAGGCCTACCGCGGACGTCCTGAGCGGACCGAGCCTCAACCGGAAACGATCGAAGTTTGCGGCGCTTGTGGTAGGAGGCTGACATCGGTCATCTGCCCTTGACAGTGTCGAGCTGCGTAGTCTGTAGTTATTTCCCAGCACTTTCCATGAGTGTCGTCATGACGACATTCCGCCAGCGAGCCTCCACCCCTCACGCAAACTGGTAGAGAATGGTCGCATGAGTTGGTGCGGCAACGCTGCTAGAGAGAGCGAGCATCTTTCAACATTGAGCTGCCGAGAATGCGCATGCACTGGGAAGGTAAGAGAGGAAGGCTGGGTGTAACCATCGTCGTAACTGTAATACCGCATTATCCACCGCATAAATCAAATAATTTAAATGCCACATTATATGGCACTTGCTCGTCACTGAGTTATTCACCAAAAAAGGATCTGGTCGACACGTGGTGTAGTTAATGACGACCACCACAGCCGCGCAGTTACGTTGGTCGTCTGCGGTTAATTTCAGCGCCAGCTTAGACAACTTTAAAAAATCTAGAAGGCCGAAGAATTCAACCAACTGACCTTCAATCTGTTGACCTGTTAACCTCCCAGGTCCGTCCCTGAATATTATCTTTACCGAGGTACGAACTCATAAACAAGCAATACCGAACCACGTAAAACTCACGAACCCATAAATCTTAAAAATTCAATGTGTTTATACATCAGTGTGTTTATGTTGTGACCCAGCACATTCAGCATGTTCTGTCGATGGATTGGTGATCACAACACTAAGCCGCGAGGACTCGCAGAGGGCCGCAGCCCTGAATGTGATCGGCTCCGAAGAAACCACTGAACAAACCAAGCGCTATAACGAACCAGCGCTGAATGAGCGTATTTGATACGACAGCGCATTTCCTAGGTATTGCGTGATGGATCGAGGGTCGTTAGCAACAGGCCGCGATGACCCGCAGAAGGCTGCAGCCCTCAGTAGCATCCCCACCGTACTGGGTCACTGATCGGCCAGTGTCGTCCGCAGCGACATGACATGACATGACATCGTGTGCACGGATCCCAACGGCTAAGTGCCGAAAACTCGGTCTGTGTTGTTCGGTTTGCGTTGTGGTTCGGTTCGCTTGCGCAGATGGTTGGTCCAAACTGGTGTTCTGACGGTGCTCCGTTCGTTCTTTCGTTTGAACGCTTTTTGAGCGGACCTGACCAGGGGTGTAGTTTGCTGATCAGTTGCGGGGTCCAGTCCTCAACTTGGGCTCCTTCCCCTCGCCCAGCTTTGAGAAGAAAGCGGGTCCAATCCGGGGGGAAACACCCGTCTGTTGGCGAATTTCAGGGGTAGGTTTCGTCTTTTTAACTGCTCAGCTCGACTTATTTCGGGAAGTTTGCTTACGGAGCGTGGCAGATATTCCGGTTCTGCAAAGAATCTGTTCTGGCCAAAAAGACACGAAACACTAGACGCACTGCCACTCAACTAGTATTATTTGCTAACGTTTTAATCAGCTTACTTGGCCGTGACGCTATGGCCTTATGTGCAGCCATACTCCAAAGCATTGCCAGGAGTACCGCCATGCTACAAAGCATCGCTATCCTCCCAGCTGGCTACTGGTCGGGTGAGCCCAGGGGTGTAGTTTTCCATTCAGTTGGGGACAGACTTGTGCTCGACTCAAGCTGAGTCACGAATCGGCTGCTGAGTCAGTCGTTTTGGGGTCAGTCGTGAACCGAGTCGGCTCACTAGGAAAAATGCCGCTTTGAGTCATGAGCTGAATCATTTTCTTCGTAAATTTCGTGAGCTGAATCATGAGCGATCATTTCTTACCATGTTGTTTCAGTGAGACATATGGCCCAAATGAAAACGGTAACATGAGAAAACACAGCACGCCCCAGACAAATTAACAGACCATTTCAGAGAGTCAAATGAACCGCATGTGGCGGTAGTTAAAAGCTTCTGGCAAAACCAGCACAAAGCTTTTTATTACAATTTCGAAGCAGCAAACACAATATTGCTGGTGCTGAACTAAAGCTTGCCAAATCTTAGCCAAGATTTAGAGGATAGTACACGATACATGCATCCTACATTCCCACATCCTATGCTCAAATCAGCTTATGCTACGTCCTATGCTAATTATTAATCGCTATTGCAAGACCTGCAATCCGAAGTGAATCGTTGATAAGCCATCGTCAGTGGCGTGGCTAGGATAAGCTAGTGGCAACATGGTTGCGTGTGTGGTTACCCACATGTGAATGCACTTGGCTGGCACTTGGCAGGTGCGCAATGCCAACTGTCGGATTAAGTGCAGCCTAGTCCACATCGCATGCTTTATAACTAATGGGTCTGGGTCGTAGGTACCAGGTGGAAAGTGCCAGCCTGGAGCTGAGACTTGCAAGAGCTGGTTGCTAATAGGTTACGGGGAAGGTAGTGTTTGCTACACTACATTGACTAGGTTCAAATTGTTCTAGGATATTCGTACCAAATTTTCATGTCATTACACACACACACACACACACATATATATATATATATATATATATATATATATATGTAATGTATATATTATTTGCATGTGTATATATATATTTTATATGCATATATATGTATAGAGAGAGAGAGAGAAAGAGAGAAAGAGAAAGAGAACGAGAAAGAGAAGGAGACAGAGACAGAGACAGAGACAGAGACAGAGACAGAGGCAAGACAGAGACAGAGACAGAGACAGAGACAGAGACAGAGACAGAGACAGAGACAGAGACAGAGACAGAGACAGAGACAGAGACAGAGACAGAGACAGAGACAGAGACAGAGACAGAGACACAGAGACAGAGACAGAGACAGAGACAGAGACAGAGACAGAGACAGAGACAGAGACAGAGACAGAGACAGAGACAGAGACAGAGACAGAGACAGAGACAGAGACAGAGACAGAGACAGAGACAGAGACAGAGACAGAGACAGAGACAGAGAACAGAGACAGAGACAGAGACAGAGACAGAGACAGAGACAGAGACAGAGACAGAGACAGAGACAGAGACAGAGACAGAGACAGAGACAGAGACAGAGAGCAGAGAGAGAGAGAGAGAGAGAGAGAGAGAGAGAGAGAGAGAGAGAGAGAGAGAGAGAGAGAGAGAGAGAGAGAGAGAGAGAGAGAGAGAGAGAGAGAGAGAGAGAGAGAGAGAGAGAGAGAGAGAGAGAGAGAGAGAGAGAGTCATATAGTTTACAAGTCATAAGGCAAAAACCCAGAATCGAATGAGATCCTTGATTTTGCAAGCCGTGTGAGTCATGAGTTAAATAATTGCATGCAAGCAATGAGCATGAAATAATCTGAACAACAAAACAGAACAGTTATGAATCATGAGCTGAATGGGTCCCCAAAATCTGGGAGTCGCTCCTGAGCTGGCTCAAAAGATTTTATTCGAAATTAGTGCCGGTTGGAAAACCCATTTGTTGGTATGTTTTGTGGGTCATTTTTCGCCGTTTCTCCCCCACACTCATTTTGCAAAGCTACGCCCCTGCGGCGCTGCTCCCCCGCTGCTGCGTAATAAGCGAGCTCCTGACGAAAATGAGGAAATCAAATGAAGGAGGGAAGAGGGGAAAAAAGGAAGAAAAAGAAGAAAACGAATTCAAGTGAAGAGAAAAACTAAGGAAGGAGGATGTCAAAAACGGGGAAAAGAAAAAAATGACACATTTCAACGCATCTGAAAATACTTTTGCTTTTACTATGAAAGTATTTCTCCGCATGCCAAATCGATTTCCATGCACAACATACTTGGCAATATTATACTACCGTATGTATCACGAGACGCCGAAAACTTTCTGCGCAAGTACCAAACAACTTTTAAAAATTACAAATGCGTAGTTGCTCCAGTTGCTCCAAGTTTCTTGCGGAGGCATTACCCCCCGGAGTAAGTCACATCTGTCCCCCATGCGCTGTGCCTCTCTGTGAACGGCCGTGTTCGGGTTGTGCGCTTGTGAGCTTGCAAAAGTACAAGAATCGTGTTACAACTTTCACCACACCATCCAGCGGCCACAAAAACGAACGACGCACATGGCCTGATGACACATGCAGCGAAGGATCATGACACTAGCGCGGAAGCGTCGTGCCACGCAGCACTAGTTGGCTGGCATTCGGTGCATGAAATATTCTTGCGTCCGACTTATGCTTACACGTACGCTTAAATGCTAACAATCAACAAGGCATCAACCACGCAACGGTCCTGACGCAAAAGGATGCACCTAGACGGCGACAGTTGGCTTACCAGGTACAACAGGTGGCTCGGCCTTTACGACATCCACCTGGGAATTCATTCCCTGAAAATAGGACAAACTTGGTGAGCAGCTTATCTCGAGGCGAAATAAAAGCCTGCAAAGTGACTGGTAACGGTTAAATACTGCGGTGGAATGTGCTAACTCGCTTCAGCGCACTCAACGCTCCCTTGTACCGCAGACAGCCAGCTATAAATATACTCTCCATCAATCCCATGGCATTCCAATCAAAATGTGGAGGCAGCCTACTACGCTGATAAAGTTTCACCGGGGCTGTTAGCAAAGTGAGACCACGATGACGGTCGGTAACTGTCGACACTGTTGGCGAATGCAGAATGTGAGGCATATCGAAATGATGCGTCAATGCAATCTTGCAACAGGACCACATGACCCCTGCTTTTGGCTGGTTCATTATACACATCCAGGCCAATCGTAAATCTGACCCAAATTTGCATCGTACACAAACAATATTAATTATTGACAGTGTACCATCATATTACGATGATAAGGGGACCTTTCACTATATTTGTTTCGCGGGATCTTACTTCATTTTCGGTGACAAATTGCTTCGTATGGAAATTATTTGATTGTTACGCACAAGTTGTGCGCCGAGGGCGTGGAATCAGCGGTCATATAATCAACGGTAAGCTGGCGAATCCTCCCTGTGACGAAGGCCCGCTCTTGATGTGACGTCAGGGGCGAAGTTCCGCAAATAAGTTGGGGCTGCTAAACCGTGAGAAATTATGACACCCGCGTCCAAAATTTTCTGACACAACAGGTTTTTCCCCGGATTTGAAACCATTCTCGCTCAAAGTTGGGGGGGGGGGGGGCGTAGCCCAAGTGCGGGGGGAGGGGCTGAAGCCCCAAATGAATAGGAAACGTCACCTCTGTGCGTCGCACGAGGTCACGCGGAATTATCGTTCGGATCACCGTCCCCTCGTTGACGGTCGTATTATCCACAAGGCATTCACTGGTGCAGCTCAAAGCAAGCATTTCTTTCCGCCAACGATGTTGTCAGCCCCCATCCGCACCAAGCTTCGAATGGATCGCCCGCACTCCCAAAACATGCTCCATGTTTTCACCCATTATTTCCACACTAATCGGCCAATCCACGCGTAAAACAACACATGGGCATGCATGGACGTATCAACAGAAAGATGTACCGACCATGCACGCGATTTTCACATTTTACGGGCTGTCTCATTCTGGAGCTCATGGAAGGGCGACGGTTTCTTGAAATTCCCGTCGAAGTTCGTCAATGTTTCCAAAATAGCATTGCCGTTAGAGCCCGCCCCTCCAAATCGTCACGATGTATTCAGAGACTTCAGGCAGCCAAATTACTTCCAGCCTATTCCAGACGAAGTTTATCGCATGCATGCAAGATCACCGCATTGTAGGTGACACTCAAGGAGCGGAACTTATTTGCAGCTTTGGCCTAAACACGGAAGCTCAAAGAAGGTACAAAATTCTCACCACGTATGGATACCGCTACCACTGGACTTGACATTTATTTCGGACTTATAACCTTTCAGGAGACTTGGATTGAAAATAATCGATTTATTTAAAAGGTGGATCAGCCTGCGACTCGTACCCACCAGTTCAAAAACAGTGGCATTCAGAAACCAATCACCCGAAGCACTGCGCTTATGCATATCAGAATCTAGATAAGACTACTTATAGCCAGGATTCGTAGAATACCTAGGAGAATGGAGAGATAGATGGTTGATATTTTGGCTACACGCCTTCATCCAAATGGACATCGGGGCGAATGCCTATCGAAACTGATCGTCGCCTCGATAAAGACGTGCAGCCGAAACATCAATGCAGTTATCTCGCCATTCTCCCGGTTATTTTACAAGGAATAAAGCTATAAGTACTGTCATATCTATATGCATAATGTTCCTCACAAATGCACTTAACAACTTACAAATCGGAATTTGACTAAGCCACACTAACTTGGGACTCGACTCGAACCCAGCTTTTCACTCCGACCCATATCTGGCCGTCACATGTGGCGTGAATTTGTTCTAGGTGTACAGTATCTCACTAGATACGTGCTTAAAAGGAATGTATGCAAACCCTCGCGCAAATTTATATGGGCGGGCAGTGCATGCAATACATCATCACCTGATGGCATAATCGCATGCAGCACGTGGCATGAGGAAATGCAGATTTGATTTAGCCCCCGCAGGACCACGAAACACAGTATATCTCGGAACCGGTTATATCTTTGACCCCCCCCCCCCCATTAAAATTCCTTAAAAACCCTGGGCATGCAGCATCCCTCACTAGTGATGTAGTTCCCCATTCAGTTGGGGGGGGGGGCCTCCATCCCCTCCCCCGCCGCGCCAACTTGGGCTCTAGCCCCCCCCCCCCCCCCCCCCCCCCCACTTAGCGAAGGGCCAAATCGGTGACACGCGTTTGTTGAGGTATGTTGGGCGTAGATTGGGTCATTTTTTTCTCTTCAGCCCCCTCCCCGCACCATTACCACACCAATTTTGCGAACCTATGCCCCTGACCATTACGCACACCAGCTCCAGACATACATGGGCGAGGATCAAGATGGATGATAGCATGGATCTTGGACATGGATGGACCTTCGTATTTTTCCCCCATTCCACACCAACCGCGGTGCAAAGAGCGTTGGAGAGGGGGCCTGGCGGATATTTCCCCCCCCCCCCATCCTCCTCCACCCAAAATATACACTTCCCCTAGTATTTTTTTTTTTTTTTACAAAGTTTCAAAGTCCCAACACTCAACAAGGATCACCAACAAGGATCACGATTCACAACATCCCGCCACACTGTTCCCTCAAATCGCAAGCTGAGGTTGGTTTCAAACACATCCCAGCTCGCAAAAGTGAGCTAAACAGAGCGTGTGCCATGGCTCAGCGTCTGAGTTAGAGCGCCAGACGGCTGGGCCCGCGGGCCGCCGCTTGCGTCAGGCGCAACAATGGCGTCCCATTTCACGTCACCAGTCACACCGCATTCCGTCGGTTGGGTCCCTGGCACCATCACACACACATACACATACACACGCTTTCTCACCGAACGTTAGCAATGACTGTGTAAAAAAGAGCACAGAATTCACTACATTACCTCATCGGATCCCCAGTTTCTTCTTTACAACACCACCGAAAATAACACTCACACGATATAAGACACATCCCATCCGACGCCTGGCGCCAACCACAGTGCCTGGCTTTGCCACATGTGCCGCAACTGCGCATGCGCAAAACCATCTCAGGGCCACCGGGGCCCAGCCAGCCAGCAGTCACAGGCTCCCGGCGTTTCACCAGCTGTGGGGCGGGGCTTGGGTCCGTTGGCTCAGCTAGCGCCAGGAAATAGGATCAGGCGGCGGGCCTGCTGTGGCGCTGGCATCGGGCCAAGTCCGCAGTGATGGAGAAAGCAGGTCTCACAGGGCCGTTCCGCGCGCAGTACGGGCCGCGCGCTGTTATTGTACCAGGAAGGTTCAAACTGTCGCAGACAAATGTAGCAGAATGGCCCTTCATAAATCCTGGTTATTAACTTTTCCTTATCAGCACAGTGGAAACGTTCTATCAGGGCACATTTTCCGCAACCACTTTCCGCTGACTGACTACAAAGACTGGAGCAAACAATCCCTGTTGGTTAAACCAATCCATGTCGGATACAGCCTCGACAAACGCCGGTACCACCAACGAAGAGCGCAAGCCCAATGCACGAAACGCTACATGGTCGCAAGCATTACTTGATAAATGACTTTTACATACCTAAAGATTCACATTAAATCTGTTGGACAGACAATGCATATTACCTCTAATCTGCCCGTACGGCAGCGTGCCTCAATGTAACGTCTGCGTCATAATTAAACTTTTCCTGTACATTTAGTTTACAGGCTTATCGTTACTTTTTCTGTACGTTTTTACACTAATGCCTTTTGCCACCTTAAAACTTTTGGATATAGCTGGCTCCGGCATGTCAAAAAAGGAAAAAATCGTCTATCATTGAGACCAAAACCAAAGCTCTCAATCTCAACAGATTGAGGTATGAAGATTGTTCAGATAGCCCTCATGAGCCAGTGTGATTTGTGAATCAAGTGAGCTGACCTATGCCGTACGAACGGCCAGCCATCAAAACAGAAAACTGGGCTGTCTGGTAGTACACCACCGTCCCGGAAGGGGAAAGGAAGTTCCCATCAAGTGACGATGATTGCGTTTGAGGTCGTCCCTGCAGCTTGACCATTTCCCATCCTGTATGTCTAGCACTAATGGATCGCTCGCTTTCAGCCACCGCAGTCCGGTTTCCCAGGAGATGGAAAGCGCAGGCAGACCCCACTGCGCCCCACTGTTCCCAGCTACGGTATAGCGCGCTTAGTAACCACTGACGTCACCCATTCTGTCGTGGTTCACCGCAGATGGCTGGCAGCGAGTTCGTTAAGGGTTCGTTATTATAAAGATCCGCCAGCACCGCGTCCTGCCACGCACGCGCAGAACTGTCACCTTGAAGCGGAATGTTAGCATTCGTTTCCCATTACGACGGTAACTAGCAGCAGCCGGTTCAACAGGCACGTTTACCGTCCGCCCCAGGCTCTTTGTTCGATAGCTGAGTCAGCCGCCATGCAGCTCTCCGCCAATCAGAGCTCGCCACGCAGACGCCCGTCTGGTCCGATGATAACGCTGACGTGCCGCCTGGGACCGCGCGCGCCGCGCGCGGAACGGTCCTGCGTCGTAACAAACCGGTTCTGCTGCAGCGCCCAGGACCCGTCCCACATATTGATCCGGGCGGGCAGCTGTCACGCGGACCTATAAGGTCCAAAGTTCCGAGGTGGGTTAGGGCAGATGACCCTTAATGCCATCTGGCCGCGTGCCAGGTCGCTTTGTGTCGTGGTGAGCCGGCGCTCACCGTCGGCCGCCCTGCCCATGCGGCCGTGAGCGCCGGCCCGCGCCAGCCAATGAAAAACGCCCGGCTGCCTAATGTGACGGGTGGCTGGCTGCTATCGTTTCCAACGAGCTGTGGATCGCTGTAAGGTTGTAGGATATGATCGGTCTGTTTGCAGACTGGCGCAGCCGACTGCTGTTAAATGTCGGCACTGGATCACGCTCGCTTTCCTGCCTGTGAAGGATTGCTTGCCACGATCGCGCGCGTGGTTCTCTGACTTGCATAATGTGTTCGATTTTTCGCAGAGGAGCGCGCTGCTTGCGTCTGCGGCGCTGCAGTTTTTAACGACCTCAGTGGCGTCAGTGATAATCGGATACCTGGAAGCAAAGGTGTAGCCAGGATTTTGTTCAGGAGGAGGCCAGAGCGGGTCGCACGGCCCGGTCAACCAGGGCCTTTTTCGTCGCCGTAGAGGCCTCCTGGCCTTTTAATGTAAAAAGCCCATTGAGGTTTGTGACCCTACTTCTTATTTGGGGGCGGCCTATTTGCTGGTTTAGAAGCCCTTCGGGTGTCTTAGACGGTCGAAGAGCTGTGGGGCCTTGCACCTCAGGGGACCCCATCACATCTAGGGGAAGCATGATCCCAAAAGCTCTCCTTGGCTACGTCATTGGCTGGAAAACCGAAAGAGCATACCACAGGGCTGGATAAGGCAAAGTGCCATTGTGATAAAGAATCGTAATCCCAGGAAAAGGGGCCTGACATTGGTGCAGCCGCTGGCCGATTATCACCTGCCGGCCATGCCGCACCCTTTTCAAACGCAGCGACACCCAACACTATTTCATATGTGGTGGATGTCAAAGCCGCCGCGCTAATAAATAGTGGAATTCGTGGCCTAGCGCGCCACTTTCGATCCTAGCCGCGCCGAGAGCAGTACGCTACTGCTGCTAATGCAATGCCTCTTCCCGCTGCGTTTGCACCATATTGGTGGCAACGCCAATTTTGAATGATAGTGGACTAGCTCGAGCTACATAAGTCTGGCGCAAGGCTTCTTTTGACGGTGTCGCGTGCTTTTTTGTAGCAGGCTAAAAAGGCATCCTTCACATGGCAGTGTTTTTTATAGCGTTAAGTGAAAGTTTCAGGTTTTTAATTTCGCTAGACTTGCCAATGTTTGCATTACCGCAATCTTGATTGGTGTCAAGGAGGCCGATCGAGAGGCAGTCTTAATCTCAGAATGTGGAACATTCGGATACTTCTGCACCACATGTTCCCCACCGTCGCGTTAAGTTCTCGTAAACGGGCGCTTCACAGATTGTCAATAAAGCAATAACTAATAGAGCGCTTGCTCTCGCCAACGTAAAACTAATCTAGCAGGCCGCAGTTTCAAGCATGAGCGAGTTTGCTTCCCCAGTTCCGTCATCTGCGACATTATCCTTACAGCACCCGCGCTACATCAGCGGACTCCAGACTCTCTCAGCGGACTCCAGACTCCTCTCAGTCGTAGTTTTAAGGGATAAGTGGCTGAACAAGAGCCAGCCGTGGGTGGGTGTATTAGCTCCACACCCACGGCTGGAGATTCGGGGGGGGGGGGGGGGGGTCGCCGGGAGCGAAACGCCAAGTCCGACAGCATGTAACATTGTGTACACAAAAAAACTGGAACACAAAAAGGGTCCTGGGACCCTGTTATTACGAAGAGAAATCACCAGTTTTGGTCACGCCGCATTCCTGCAGCTGACCTGGACGTGTTGCGTGACGACGGCGGCTGGAATACAAGCGAAATGAGCTAGAAGCAGAAAAGAATCGCAATTGCAGTTAGCTGTGACGTGTGCAATTACTGGCTGCCTTCGGCTGATCTTTTTTTTACCGTCCGAAGCCGTTCGATGTAATTATAAGGCATTCGTCCAATGATGCTTGTGCCAATCGCTTCGATTGGAGCGATGACAAATCGCGCGCCGCTCTCTGGATATGCAGTATCGCGACTCGAGCAAAAATGCATCGGAGTTGCCAGTTGTAGGCCGATCTGGTCTCAATGGCAACAGTGATTAAACCGAGCGGTGCAATCTGGATATGCAACATGACGACTGGAGCTAAAATACATTCGAGCTGCCAGGTGCAGGCAGGCACAGTCCAAATTTCAACAATGATAAAAACGAGCGCTGCGTTCTAGATGTGCAATATCGTGGCTTGAGCTAAAATACATTCGAGCTGCTCGGCGCAGGCAGTTTTCGTCCAAACCGATGTCCTTACCAGAAATGTGCGGACAGCGCTACGAGCTTTGATTTGAAGGCGGGGCAGACCTTTCAAGGAGGTGACCTCCTGGCCAAATTAGGGCGGCTTCACAAGGGGTCCTCCTAGGCCCCGGGTGTCGGTTTGTAATTTATTTATTTGTACTCTACTGATGTACATTCTGTTGGTCGATTTGTATTCTACTCCCTGCATGTCCAAGTCGTCCCTCCCCTAATTTCCAATTGCTCCCCCAACAGTGGCTTCAGCCCCCCCCCCCCCCCCCAGCTACTACAGCCTAGGTGCAAGGAAGGCTTTAAAGTGGGATATTAAAGTTAAGTTATTTTGATTTTAAAGGAAGCTGCCGCCAGTTGTTTGACATGTAGAAGGAACGAATAAAATTAAACCTGTGGTGCCACATTCTTTTGGCTGCAGCTGAATGAGCTAGTCACACTTTCAAAGTTCCGTGCTCATGCCGTAAATACTGAACTATTTTCTGTTGTTTTCCTGACAATTCATATTCTTAGTTCTACAGAATGCAGAAAGCTGTGTTATTTTGCCACGATGTCTTATCGGAAAATAAAACAAACCGGTCCAACGTTCGCACCCAAAAAAGCTTCAGAGTTCTTAGTCGTCTACGTTCAAAAACACGGTTGAAATGTGCTGACCCCCACTTCGACGTGAATATTTGATGAAGCAGTTACGAGAACCTGGCAATCGAGACCAGCCGGCTAAACCAACAGCGGTAATCGTCCGACAATGACGACCAAAACAACACGAGTCGTGTCGGACATGCCCAATACGAGTGCTGCGGCTGCATCCTGTTCCTCGCCTTGTGGCAACCAGCCGGGGATTTCCGTAGCAGCGTTTGACAGTCGCGCACATAAACTTGCACTCATTTCTCCCGAACCCGTACGCATTCAACAACATCTGAAGCCACAAACATCGACCCTACGTCGATTAACGACACCCTGTCTCGAGGATCGACGCCAAACAAAATGACTAGTGATGCCCAACGACAACATCTTCCACCGAGACACAACAAGGAAACGCTTTACAGCGGGGCTGAAGTTCCCCATTCAGTTGTGTGGGAATCCAGCTTCATGACATTTGGAGGAAAGAGGGTCAATCCAGGATCAACGTTTTTTTTTGTGCATCTGAGGCTAAGTTTTCCCCGGTCATCGCCAAACCTTTCTTGCGAAACCGCACCTGTGTGGTGGAGGCATAACGACCGTGACA